AAAATGCAGCATATAAATAAAATGTTTGCAATATCAAAACTTGACTTCTAATTGCTGTAACATTAAGTATGAATGCAGTATGTTAATAGAGAGATGACTATCTTTGGTGAGAGAATAAGCCACCATGAACCTTTGTCAGGCCCTGAGAAAATATTAAAAATCTGCTAATGAAGTATTTTTGTAACAAGCCTTAATTTTGGATTCTATTTTGTATCTTACTTTCAGTTGGATCAATACTTAGAATATTCCAGTGTTTCCTGTATGCAAATACATCCATTTAGAGGCTTATCAAAGAGAGTGTAAGAAGGCGATTCATTTGAGGAACATTTATTATTATCCTGCCCTTCTATGGTACATATCAGGATGGCTTACAAAATACATGATCATAATGTAGAAAACCCCACATCAGTAAAATCAACATAAGCAATAAAGAGAACTAAACATTAACAGCAACATAAAAACATATTAAGAAAGAGACTCATGGTGTTTGGAAGCAAGAAGGGGGTATTTGTGGTTGTTTCAAGTATGTATCTGCATTTCTGATGGTGAAAGAACCAAAAGCAGGAGAGCAAAACTATTGGGCAGGCTTATGTAATGAAGAAAACTGAGATTAGAATTCTAAGGGCCAAGACCAGCATTTTGAATTAAAACCAGAAAGAAATTGGCAACCAGGAAAGCTGTGAAAAGACTGATTAAGTTCTGTTTGCTTAACTGCTTCCAGAAATTTGGCAGTTTCATTTTTTGGCAGCTACATTAGTCAGTATAATGCTAAATGTATAAATATTAGATGTTTTGACAGGTCTATTGAAAATTGATTGCTTTCTTGTTTATATTTTGCTGACATGGTCTCAGTTAAACTATCTATCATTATAGAATACTGCTGTTTATGTGTTAGTTTAAACTAAATTATGTATTAGTTTACATTTTGAAATTATTGTGAGATCTTTGTGCATGTTTTACTATGGAATGGTGACATACAGCTGAAACTTCCAGGTTGTCATCAGACGATACAAGTTGTGTAACTTACTTTAGTAGTGTAATCGCAAGGTGACTAGATCATGAATGGCTGGGGCTAGGTCTGGTCTCAGTAGACTAAAATAAACTTTATACCAGGTCAGTAGTTATACATGTCTGGTAGTATGACACCCCTGTGTAGCAGGAACTGAAATTGTAAAAGTGTTTAGCAATATGTTTTTCAGTAACCTGTTATTGTTATGTGCTGTCAAGTTGTCTCTGATTTATGGTGACCCTATGAATGAATCTCTCTACAATGTCCTGTCCTTGATAGCCCTGCTCAGCTCTGGTAAACTCACTCAGAAGCTTGGGGGGGGGGGGGAGATGGATAGCTTTTATTTTCATATTGCTGTCCTAAAATTAAGGTTGATTTGTTATTTTGGTAGAGTTATTATTATAATATTTTTTACACCCCTTGAATATGCATGCATGACTTACTCTGGTAAGTATTTGCGGGAGTTGAAGATTAATATTTGCTTTTAGTTTCAAAGCAGAACTGAGCAACTTGTCATGAGTTGTTTCTGAGGAGTGAATCAATGTTTTCAACAATTGTGAAGGGGCTTCTACAAAGCATTTTAAAAATTAAAAACTACACAAGGTGGTTAGCTGAGAAGGAGATTCAACAAAACAGTACAGTAAGACTAGTGTCCCATGATTATTTTGCATATTCATATAAGTCTCTTCCATACCATTTTAGCAGCCGGTTGCTGGCACAATTTTCATATAATTGCTACCACCAAATTAATTAGCACATTGTAATTTGGATTCTTACGTACAGGTGGATTTTGGTCCTATCATGCTTTTCCAGAGTGGGCTGCATACCAAGTCTCCCTTCCATGTGCAGATCACCAACCATACCATATCCCATATCATTTTCAAATGTCCTTTAGCCATTATGCAATAGCACTTCCAGAATATGAAGGGGAAGCAGTGCACAGAAAAAGAGAAGCGGGAATGCCCTCTTGTGAACTGGATCCAAACACTATTTTGTTGCCTGCTCTTGGAGTAAGCTGGTTATATTAGAAATGCAGTCAGAATCAAAATTCTAAATTACTGCTCATCGAGAGAAAAATACTGTCCTAATCGCAAGTTAATTTTGGGATTGAAATATCTGTAGGTAGTTACTACTTTGTAAACTCTGTACAGTTTGTATGTACTGTTGGTCAGGAATAGTGATCTATAATCTCAGGACATTCTTTTCTAAGCTGTGGTCTGAGGACTAAAACTTTAGGGTGAATATGAGTACACTCAGGCATAGGATCAAATATAAATTCATTTTTGCATATTCCATGCACAATGAAAAATAAAGGTAAAATGTTAAAGTGTGGAATATCTTACATACAACTTGAAAATACTTTTTTTTATGAGTGATGCCAAGATTTTTTGACTGAAATCTGATTGGACTACTGGGGACCACATGAAATTTCCATGGTGCTGGATCCAGCCTAAAGAGATTGCCTGTCGACCACCTTTGCTGTAGGGCATTTTTAGGCTGGTTCTTATTTTCTGTGCAGTGATAATTTTTATTTATGTATTTATTTGACTTACATTCTGCTATATTGGCCCAAGATAAAAACACACTATAATGATAAAAACAATAAATCAACACATACAACAATCAGACAAAACAGCCCTACAAATGGTGTAAGCAGTGTATGATTTTTCACACAACTATGTGAGAAATGCTTTATATGTAGGTTTCTTATTGTGAAAGTTGATAGCAGTTAAACAGCTATTGACATTCCTCCAATTTTTCTGTATTTATGTTTAGATTAATGTTCCTTATCCTGGGCGCTATCTTGCCTATTCAATCACTAATGGACTGTTTTGACATTAAAAAGTTGATAATATATACTTCAGGTAATTTATTAGGACACCTTACCAGATTCTTCGTCTTTCAGATTTGGGAAATCCGTGGATTTTTCACCTTTTTGCTGTACCAATTCTTTTCCAATCTCAGATATATCTGATTTTTTAATTATTACATTTATATTTTGCCATTTTCCTTCTTGTGAGTAACCCAAGACAGTTTATATGGTCCTCCTCCATTTTATCCTCACAATGACAATTTGTGAGCTAAATTAGGGAAAGTCTGTGACTAGCCTATTGAGCTTCATGGTCAGGCTGAAACCAGAGGGATAAAGTTCTGTTGCATAAGTAGACTTCTGCTTGTGTGATAACTGGCTTCTGCCCACTGTAGGTACAAAATGGAAATGCAAATTTTATTTTTTCCTAAAAAATGAATAAATAAAAGGACTTAAATAGAATAGATTAATGAAGAATAGTTGAGGGAAATCAAACTTCACTTGAAGAACTCTTTTTGCAGACAATGCCTGACTGAATTTGTGCTGCATTATAATTTCATGGATGCATCATGTTTAATTTAAAGTCACATTAAATCTCAACTTGTTACAGGCTGTTAGACACAGTGAGTTATGTAGAAAGCAGAACTGTTACGTAGAACTTTTTCCTTTATTTTGTTTGCTATTGGGAACAATAAAGAGAAATGGACTTGAAGTTATCACTGAATCTATGGAAAATAGATTTTTATTAGATAGTTTCCCCTTTTGTTGAGCTCCTGTGTTAAAAACACATGAAGCAATTGCTTTCCTAACTTCCTTTGTTTAGTCCCAGCAGCACCACTAGGTAGAATATACTTTGCTCTGGGGAAGGAGGTAACTTTTGTCATGTTTCTGCCTGATGCAGTCATTTTTCTTATTAAGTCTCCTAAAAGGGGGTTGTACTTTCCTGAAAGGTAGTGCTGTTGATGAGTTGAAGAGAATCTTGAATTAGTTGTCTTGAGCTTCTTCATTCTTGCTTGGATCAAGAGAGTATTACTTGATCCAAGCAAATTTCCTCCTCCTCTTTAATGAAATGTTTTCTTGGATGAGTACTTACAATTTGTGGGAGAAAAGGAAGACTGTGGTTCAGGGGAGCATTGGGTAAGAGATTGGGGCTGGGATGAATTTAGTCTCTTCAGTTCTTAGTTTGACTAATAGAAGTAGAAAATGTCACTTAAAGTGCTTTTTTAGTGATAGTAGTACACTATATGACTGCATGTTCATATTTGTCAAGTTTTGACTTTAAAGCATGAGTGTACAACTTCTGGCATAGTCAACAATGAGGGATAATTGCATTTTTTGTTTTATCGATTCATTTTTTATGCTGCCCACTAGCCATAGGCTGAGTGGCTTGCAACATATTAAAATTAATATAAAAATACAATCACAATGTAATATTTACTATAAAAACCAATAATAATACCAATAAAATCACTAAACAGGATTAAAACCAAAATAGGAAAAATAGAATTAATAAATACTGAATAGTATATAAATATATTAAAACCCAAAAATAAAGCATAAACCTTAACATTGTAAATAAATATATTGCCTTTAAAATCATGTTCCATTGGCAGCAGTATAAAATAACATTAATGCCTAAAAATTGCTAAAACATCTACAGGACTAAAAGTTGCCTGCATAAAGCAATTAACACAACTCTTGTAAGGAATATTTCAGTATGGTTTTCACATATGTAATAGTTCTTGTCATGAATTCTCCTATTTTTTTGAAATTTTAAAATGTAGTGTTTGATTTATTTTCACATTTATAGGACTCTGAATAACCCTCTAAGGGTATTCTAAGTGGCTCAAATTGTTAAAAACAGGCCAACAGTATAAGTACAGAGAAGGGGGGGACCTATTGGTAGCAGGGTGAGATTTACTATCAGATGTTAAAGTCAGGTTTTGAAATACTTTAGAAACAGGACAGTTTTTGTCTGGCACCAAAATGGAAATAATGACAGCTCCAGGCAGACCTCTTTAGGAAGCTCTGAGATCCACTGAGATGCTGTGAGATCTGAGATCCAAGATTGCTTTGAGATCTGAGAAATATGACATTTCTTGCTACTTATCTGCAGTGAACTTGAACTACTTGAAATTGGTCAGGATTCTGCCTTTGAAAATAACACATTATTTGTTGCAGAGAAAATTCCATTCTTTGTGAATAGTCAGATATTGAAGAAAAAGTGTCAATCATGGCTGAGTTGTCACCTGAAGAAATTCAGCTGAGAGCCCATCAAGTTACAGATGAGGTAAATATCTCTACAAATGGAATAATTCTCTAGGGTTATGCAATAAAAGGTAGGCATCATATTAAGGAAATCTGTTTCATATTCCTTAATTTCATATTAAGGAAATAAATAAAGGCCATTCATATTAAATTAGTTGTCTTAAATGATCAAACTTTGAATTTAAAAAGAAAGAATACTGTTTGACATTATTACTAACCAAAGAGAGATCTGTAACCCAGTTATACAGTTTCAGAGGCAAGGATTTGTCATAATGCTGAATTGTTTGAAGTAATGTATACTATGGTGTGACCTAAATGTTTTTAAATGCATGTCTTAAATAAATCTTGCCTTTCTTTTAGTCTTTGGAAAGCACAAGGCGGATCCTTGGCATGGCCATTGAGGTAAGGAAGAGCTTGAGAACTTTTTGGCATGTGCAGGGAAAAACAAATCAAAATGTCTAACACTGCATCATTCTTGCAGTTGTTTCAACAGCTGTTGCTATTTTAAACTATGTGGTACATTTCTCAAATCTGTAGAAGAGCTCTGATAAAAATGACTGGAGCAGCGACATTGGAACTTTAATATTTATACTGTTGTATTATTTTGAACAGGATTTAAAAATTCACTAGCTGTTAAGGTACTTAAATCTGCATTGCAATATTTTGTAATGTGCTGTATGTCTTTTACCACAACTAAAAATTGTACTCAACATTTATATGCTACTAATATAAATAAAGTACATAAATAAATAAACAGCTGAGATTGTTTAGCTTAGAAAAAGAGTGATTAAAAGGAAATGTGATAAAAAATTATGTATAGAAAATTATGCATGGTATGGTAAAATTGGACAAATATGTTTTTTCTTTCTCTCATGATGTTAAAACCCAGTGGAGTCATACTGTGTAACTGGTGAATGGATTCTGCACAGATTAAAAAGTACTTTTTCACATAGTACATCATTGAACTATAGAAGTTGTGGTTCTGCAGTTCTCTGTAGATGTAGTTCACCACAAGATGTAGTTATTGACATTAATTTTGGAGGGCTTAGGAAGGGGTGTGGACAAATTCATGGAGGATAACTCTATCAATGGCTACTAAACTGGATGGTTGTATACTACCTCAATATCAGAGGTTGTATTTTACTCATGTTTTGCTTGTGAGCATTCCATTGAAGGTTAGTTGCCCACTGTGTGAAATTCGTGGGCAACTGCAAAGGTGTGTGTATTAGGCTCTGAGTTTGATCCAGCATGGGTCTTTTTAGTGAATACTTTTTGTTCCATGGAATGTTTTTCTAGAAATGCTGTAGAAGAGGCTGTTGTGTTTCAAACTTTGTGTCTGATTCTAGCCCTGGATCTTGCTGATTTTGTATTCCATATTAATATGCTTTCTGTTCCTTCTAGTCCCAAGATGCAGGAATCAAAACCATCACCATGCTGGATGAACAAGGGGGTAAGCTGGACATATGTGATAAATTGCATTATAGAATATCCATATATTTTTCTGAGAATTTTCTTGCATCTATAATAAGATCTAGGGAACTTACTCATCACACACACCTTCCAGTGGCTTTCAAAAACTTTCCTTTCTGCAACTCAAAACTGCTTCTTAATGTCTTTTCCCCAGCTATTTTTAAGAAGCATTTTGAACTGTAGAGGTTTCTTTTTGAACAGGTACCATCTTGTATCATTTAAGGTCCCTAACCTTTCATCTTTTTTAATACTTTATTTTAGAACAGCTAAACCGCATAGAAGAAGGCATGGACCAGATAAACAAAGACATGAGAGAAGCTGAGAAGAACTTGACTGAGCTCAACAAATGTTGTGGTCTTTGTGTCTGTCCTTGCAATAGGTCAGTTAAAACTAGGTGGATAACATGCTTTGTTCAAAACAAAAGCAACAGCCCACTGAAAAGCATTCAGAATTCAAAACTTAGGCCATTTTCACTGGTGTGCTTTAGAGGACACCATCTTTCTCTGTATGAGAGGACAGGAGGCTCTAGTAGTGCATATTGTTTGAATTTAGTCTGTGTAATGTAAAAGAAATAAAGTAATAGTACCAGTTTGAATAAGCTTTTAGATTACTATTATTTTAAGACTATATTGATCTGTGATAGTATAAGTTGGTATTGTTAAAATGACACTTGGTTAGTGTGGAAAAAGCTGTGGATTTCTTTATTTCAAGTTGGTTAACTAAAAGCAAGAAATCATACTCTTAAGCACTTTGAACAAGAAGGGAAAGTGTGGGATACATTCTAAGTATCTTGTCTTCTTTCTCCTTATTGCATTCTCACTTTTTTCTCATACTGTGGTTAGCTTGTGTATGTTCTTGTTTTAAACATCTAATTTATGATTGTTCTAAATGTATTTATTTACATAAGAGGTTTGTACGGAAGCTTTTTCAATGTGCTTGACCCGTCTCTCTACCTGCTTGCCATAAGTAAGTAGGGGAGGAGGAACCGGATGGATTTGGAGGAGAAAGCTAAAGAAATACCTTTTTTCTGTTCCTAGAGCTACATTAGTGTATGACATTCTCCTAACAGTTGTGGAATGGCCTAGCCTTAACACAAGTGAATATAGGGCTCACAACATGAATTATTTTCATTTTCTTTTGCCTGAGTTAAGGGTAAAGCTGATTTCCCCTCTAATCACAGAATCCCAGTTATTCTTTGAAATAGTTTGTTTGCTAACAACTATTTATCTGCTTGTGTGTCTTACTGTACACTCTTTTCTTATTCTCTCTCCTAACCATCCTGCCTTTCCTTGCTTAATAAAATGAAGATTTAACACCAGAGGTTGGATTCACTTAACTGGTCAAACTGGACTTTAGGAAAAGTTCAATCTTATGAAGCACCCTGTACTGTTAACCAGCTATCTGAAGGTGATGTTCTAACTGGGTGCATGTGTGCATGTGCATGTTGTCTTAACATGCAACTAATCTTGTGACGGTCCATAGTTGTGTTGTCTCTGTGTCATGTTGTTTGTAGATCATGTTATTATTTTGACCTGAATAATCAGAAACAGTACTTTCGACTTTGGGGATGTTAATAGTGGCTAAAATTCAGTTGTATCTCTTGAATTTTGCTTTAGGAAATTAGTGGGTTATAGTCAGTTGAAAATTTTTGAAGAAATATTTTGAAGTGACCATGAAAATATAGTAAACACTTATGTATAAGATTCTCTTCAAGTAAATTTTGGCATTACAAAATTAAATTTAGAAGTCTTTACTTTCCCTTCTAGAAACACAACTGTATTCGCAATTATGTTCTATGTTACTTTGTAAAATCATCAATGGTTATATAAATTTCTGCATATGTTATGAGAATTGTGATTCCTTTTGATATCCCACTGATCTCACCCAGAAATATCCTAGTACGAGATAGAAAACCATATTGTATACCTAGGTGAGAATAATTTCTTCTTTGGTATACAATATGGTTTTACAGTTCAGGTTGTAATTCAGCTAAACTTTTAAAATATGTTAACCTTTGGTAGTATCAGTGAAGGCTGAGTTACAATAGATATCAACAGTCTAACATGCAACTATACTATATGAGCTTCATAAAAATAGAATCTTACCTTTACTTCTTGTATAATATTTATTAATGTAACAGCATGTAGCTTTAAGTCAGCCTTGAATATTGCATTTTTAAGTGCACACATAAAAAATCTTAGTGTTAACCCATATCTGCAAACATGCTTGTAATCTTCTAGGAAGCTAGGATTAGTTGTAGCAAGCCTGGATTAATTACTAGTGTCAATCCTTTAATGTTGGGATCTTGTACAATAGTTAAACTGTCTATGTGATGAGCTATAATTGTGCATGAATTTGCTTTTCTTGTAGAACAAAGAATTTTGAGTCTGGTAAAGCATATAAGACAACGTGGGGTGATGGTACAGTGAATTCAACTGATCGTGTAGTGTCGAAACAACCAGGACATGTTGTAGACTATCAACAACCGGCCTCAGGAGGAACAACGGGAGGATATATAACACGGTGAGCTTTTTATCTTTGTAATTGAAAAGCATGAGGAGAAATCTGTGTAAGCCACAAGAGATTTTCTGAAAAAGGATTAGTGAGTCTTCAGGGTCTTTAGAAAAGTTATTGATGAAAATAATGATTCTGAAAAAGTGGAATATGTGACACTCAGGAGAAAGGAACTTGTGATTTCTCAACAAATGCATTCAACAGGGTAACAAATGATGCCAGAGAGGATGAGATGGAAGAAAACCTAAATCAAGTGGGAAACATCTTGGGAAATCTGAAAAATATGGCCTTGGGCATGGGCAATGAGATTGATAAACAAAACCAACAGATAAAGCAGATAAATGACAAGGTAAGAACAGAGAACTTGGCCCCTGATGCCTTAACCTTGGCAAACCTAATGGGAGGGATGGGCAATTCAACATGTCCCCAGGGCCACAGGGCTAGGGAAAACTCAAATGCAAATAAATGTTACGGTACCATAGTGATGAAGAGCATCATGGCCCTGAGCATTTAAAAGATGGCCCTGAGAAGTCTGTTTTAGACCTACACTTAGCTCTGAACTCACTTCAGAGCTAAGTGAGTAAATCTAGTATCTTTTTGCCTTAACTTTCTCATTTCCCTTGTCATTACACATGAATGGTGGTGCTGGCCTGTTTTGCAGAGCTGATTGCTGAGATTATGTATGTGAAGCAGTTTTACTATTTAGGGTGCTGTATAGTTCCTCACAATTTAATAAAACCACAGTATGTGGCCGCTAAACACTTAATAGGGAGGTTCTGCAGTGCTATTGGGAAACATTCCACTGATCTTTTTGCTGGATGTTACCGGAGGGAGGAAGAAAATGGTTTCAATAATGTTCTTGCTTGTACTGGGATATGAGGAAGGAAGCTGTTTTGTGCATGATAGCTTAATCGGTTTAACATAGTGCCTTGCATTTTGTTCTGAACACTTCAGGACTCAAGCTCAGATCTTGAAGTGTTGGTGTAAAGTTCAGTCAGTGTCCAACACTAATGGCTGGGTACCATACCATATCCTGCGTGAATTGCAGTAGAAAGAAGTTTACTCAAATGCCATTACATACCCCTTAACAACTAGTTTCTTTTACCACCATAATATTAAATAAACTTATTCTGGGTGATTCTTAAAGAACTGCGAAGCAGCATGAGTTGAACCACTTTCCCCACATCCCACTATTATGTTAGCTTACTAGCAGTCTTACATTATGTTTTCTCTTTCAGGCTGAAGTCAACAAGGAGCGTATTGAGCAAGCCAATGCAAAAGCCAAAAAACTTATTGACAACTGATAGGTTACTGCCAGTTGTTTATCCAACTAAAACATCTATTTTAGTCTACAAATCTCTACAATTTCCAAAGAAGAGGTGGTAAGATTCAGAAGGGGAAACAAAGCAGGACACATCATAAGGCTTCTTTGTTGCATGTATATAGACTCAGTTTGAGAATCCAGGAAGGCAACACAACAGAAATTCAGCTTTCTTACCACTTTCCATATCCTCAGGGCTCCATTTTCTGGCTATGAATCTTTTCATGGTTCCTGCCTTGATTCTGCTTTATTTCCCTTTTTGCAGTTCAATACAGAGTGAGACACAGAAAAGGATGCACTCACAGGGTTCATTACCTCATTTAATATTGCATGTCATCACTAAAGTGGTGGATAAATGATTTTCATGAACTGTGTCTTTTTTAATTAAGCTGACCCTAGTTTTAGAAAACAGTTTTACTATCAGTTCTTACATGATGGCACAGGATTGGTGGGGGGAGGGGGGATTTTCTTTTAATTGGAGCATGTGGCTTAGTAGTTGTTATTTTTCAGAATAGGACTGTAAAGCACATGTTTGTACCTGGACTCCCAAGTTGGACTCCCAAGCCATAACAATTCTTGGTTAGTTGGAAAGGGGATGAGGAATCACACTATTTTGATTTTTTTAAAAAACAAACCTATAGAATTGATACATGTGACTATTGCAAAACTTTTAGGTGGATTTATTCCCCATTTCACCACAGATGATTGGGGTATTTGCTATGAACTCTAATCACCTTTATTCCTCCCGGAAGCCCTGTATAAGTGTCTGAGGAATTTAGGAGGAGTTTCTAGGGTGGCAGACAACACTTGTGTTCCTGTCCCTCTGGTTAATCATTGAGTGGGAGTACGCTTGGGAATACTTTTCTAGGATTGGAAGCAGAGCACCTCCAAGGGTACAATTAAAGGATACAGCCCTGTTGCAAATTACTGTGTCAAAACATCCTGAAATTCCAGTCATTAAAAGGACTGTAAATCCTTTGGACACAAACACTAACATTGTTGAAGAGAGATCTCTGTGTGAACATTTTTGTGTCTAATCAAAAGCAAAGTTTAGTGAAGGTGCATTTGGCACTTAAGTCTGAGTATAAACTATTTTGTCATGTTATTTCCTAAAGAAATATAGGCTGAAGGGGAAGGATTGATTTTTAAGTACCAAAACCCTACAACTGGAGAACAGTATCTTCAGTATTTAATAAAACATTTGTGGCATTTCTCAAAATACATCTGAAGCAGCTTCCAAAGAGAACTAAACCAGTGCTTGTCATAATGAGTTAACATTTGCAGCTGCTTGGTAAAACGCAAGTTTTAAACAACTGTGTTGGATACTGAACTGAATGCAGTATGTGCATACATATAATTTTCTTCAGGTAACAGTTATAATGTACAGTTGTCTCACATTTTCTGGCTGAAACTATATTCAGTCTTTAATGCTGCATTGAGATATTTGTGAAAGTGAAGTCAATACTGAAACAGGTTTGCTTTTGCTTCTACCTTTGTCATGGCAATGCAGCTTGGCTATAGCACAGATCTGTATTAGAAAATGTGCTCCCGAGTTCATATGCTACCTACTAGCATGTATTGTGTTGTTTGTTAATTGCACTAGTTTTCCTAACTGAGCATACAGCAAAGCTAGGAGACTATGAAGAGCTACCATACATAGCTGCTAGTAGAGTGTTCTTCAGTGTAGTAGGTTTACAAGTTATGTAAACCTGCTGTAGTAATACATTAATATGTAATAACTTCAGTTCATTCCTGTGTTAGGAATAAGGCATCTGATATAGCTTTCCTGTAAACATGTCTGTAAAAGTCATTAAACTACAAATATGTTAAATAGCCAAGCTTTCTGAAGAAAGCTTTAGTCCACCTCTAGTTAAGAATTCATAAAACACATGCATATTTGTTAGAAATCTTTGATAATTAGAGGTTAGTGGGCATTCTTACATGATTAAAAGGAAGATTTTTGTTCATGAATATTGTATTTCCAATTAAGTAACAATGCTTGTGATTGTGGTTGTGACAATGACCTCTACTTTTAAGTCCTGCCAGGGTGGGGCTTAAAACAAACTGGCATATTATGCTGTCATTTTCTTAAGAAGACACTGTATTATCCTGCCCCTCTACAAATCAGTTTCAGCTGACCCATACCCTTATTTTAGTAAGTTAAAGCTCTTCCTTAAATACATTTTGTCATCAAGGGGTAACATGTAAACAAAGCATTCTTAGATGTGTAGAGTAGAAATTGCCCATCAGTCTCAAATTAGTTTAATGTATTAGTGACTCAAACCTAAATGGTAATGATTTTGCTGGAAATAGCAGAACACAGTAAATTTTATTACTCTGGAAGCACAACTGTGAATTACTTGAGCTCTGCAACATCTGTTCTTAATTTTACTAATATGAGATACATCAAACTACCATCACAGAGATGGTGATATGAGCAAAATGTTGCCTCAATGCACATTTCTTCATTAGCTTCTCTGGAAACTTGTATAGTATTGCATGAAAGCACTTGAATATGGATTATATATATGGGTAAGATTTTGCATTATGGAACAGTTAGAGCAAGCCTGTATGCCTTATTATCTGTTTTGAACTGTAATAAAGTGAATGCCTCAGGTTTTCTTCATTGTATTTGCTGGACTGAATAAATCTAGCCAATGGATGTCTTCAAGTATATAGCATTAAAAAGTGAAGTTACTGCTATAAAGTTGCAGAGGTATATATTAGAATAGATACAGATCTTGTAACTGTTTTACCTGTTTCCAATGGCTACATCACAGTGCCTTCCTGAGATTAGGTCATTCATCAATATGTCTGTTGAATGATGTCTGCTGCTCAATATGGCTGCATGCTAAATAGGCCTAGCTTTGTCAGTGCTTGGCAAAGGAAGCCTATCTGTGTCACCTTGAGTTTCATGATACAAGAAAGGCAGGATGTAAATAAAAATGAAAGATTCAGTACCTTGACATTCTAAAAGCTCAGAGGGTTTTTACAATATGTATGTAGAGCTACCTTAACATGGCTTTTTGTAGTTCAATGAGCAGTATGGAGGTGAGAAGTATAGGTAAGGAGAAACCTGATTATAGAGACAGAAAAATGATCTCCTGCAGGACATACCATGAAAGGTCTTATTGTACACTACTTTTAAGTTGTCAGCCCACAACTAGAAGAAACTGTTTCCTTCTCTCTCACATGCATGCATATATGCAAAGAGAAACATGACAAATCTCAGGGGCATTGGTCTTGTTACAGCTAGATTTGGCTGTAATTATCTGAGGATTATAGAGTTGCTTTTCTCCAAAGCAACAGTATTTACTTTTACTTTAAGTCTTAGATAAAAGAACAATAAATATGCAAGAACAACTGTAGTTGTGCATATATTTATTTTTTATCATTCACATGACAAATGAATACTTTATACATAAACTGACATTTGTCAAAAGGTGCCAAAAAGCTTAAGACAGCTGTGGATGCAAGTTTCATTTAATTAAAAAAATACAGAAGTTATGTAGAGAAGTTGCATATTTTAGGTTCTCCCAGGTGCTTTGCATAAGGCAGTAATAAGGTAATCAGTCTGATTAAAGGAGCTTGACTGCCATGAAAATTCAGTGCAAAGGTGTTAACTCCTCCAACCCCAAATGCAGTCAATAGAGACATTAAGATTCTGTGATGTAATTATTTAGCATGACAGTTGAACTATACACCATCTCATCATCAAATAGAAGACTAGCTGTTCATGAGATGTGATTGTAACATGAAGCTAAAACAACTGTTTTTGAATGTGACAAGTTGAGCTAATACTACCTTACACTATTTGTGCTTCAAAATGTACATGATTTTTAAAAATACAGTGCCAGCTTCATACACTATAAAGCATTTAAAGCAAAGGAATAACTTTGCATTTTAGAGTTAATTGTGTAACTTCAGTGTTTTCTTACTCCAGTGTTCTCTGGATGCGGAGGGCCCATTTTCTTCATATAACCGATTTCTAATTATGCTGCCAGCAGCTGTAATAAAACCTTCAGCTCAAGTAAATGTTAGAAGATTTTCTTCTCAAACATAATGATCCCTGTAAGCAGAAATATTCTGTTAGCTGGAAAGCTGCTAAATGTTATATCCAGGGCAGCTTCAACCATTCCTGGAGTCATTTTTGTGGCCTTAACAACAACTTATCAGATCCTTTCATAGTCAGGCTTTTCAAAACCTTGCATTTCCTTCTCCCAACAGGCTAGCAGCATATAAAATCCATGTATCACATCTCTTGTTGCCTTTTCCTTCATGAGTTAAGATTGATCGTAATCCATCAGGCAAATTTTTTCTTGGTGGCTGTGAATCGCTCCATATACTGAAAAAAAAATCAAGTATCAAAATTAGTTTTGGAGGAAGGAATATAATTAATAATTAGAATTCTAGATTTCCCTATTGGCATCACTATTGTCTCTGAGGTAAAGATTTCCAAGGATGTTTCTTATCAAGTATAGTTCCTTATGCTGAACCAATTCAGGATTATTTAGATTCTATATCAGATAAGCAAAAAAGTAATTTAATATACTCTAACATACACTAAGTGATAGAAAATAGATTTCTTCCTGAGAAGACTCTGCCATTTATTCAAATGATTGCCAAAATGCAAAAGCAGAGAACCTAACTCTAGTTTTCCCAACTTGCTGTCTACTTGAATTTTAGCTCCACTGGCTACTTAGGACAGTAATCCCCACTTTAGCTTGGGGGGAAGAAACCAGTTTCAGCTCAAGGGCTGAACTGAATTACAGGGAATCTGTGCCAGTGGATGGGGCCAAAGACAAGGGGTGAGCCCATTTTTTAAAACAAACATTGAAGTTTAAAGCTGTTACTGCCCGTAATTAAGCCTTAAGAAATGTGCCTTTACAACTGGGGGCAGGAGACTAAACAAAAACCAGGAAATCACCAAATGATCTGTGGCTGGGAGAAAGGGGGCACAGCCATGTGGGCACTGCTCAAGAGCTGGGCTGTGATGCCAAGAGGGCTGCATTTGGTCCTTAGGCCTGAAGTTCCTAGTTTAACTGGATAAAACATTAGACCACACCCACTATGACAGGTTTCATTCTCCATGTCTCTTGCTATTAGATGGATGATTGATGACTAATCTGCTTAATGCCACATCATCAAAATAATGACAGAAAATAAGAAAAGCCATGCTGGATCAGACCAAAGTCCCATTTAGTCCAGCATTCCACACACACATAACAAACTAGCTGCCCGCAGGATCCCTCAAGCAGGGTGGGTGCAAGATTGCCTGCCCGTGCTCTTCAGCAATTGGTGCATGCAGGCATGCCATCTTTGGAGGTAGCACATAATCAGCAAGGCTAATAGTCACTGGTAGCCTCCTTCAGGAATCTGTCCAGTCCCTTTTAAATGTGTCCAAATTGGTGGCCATTATCACTCCCCATGATAGCAAACTCCATATAACTTATGTAGTGAGAAGTGCTTCCTTTTATCTCTCCTAAGCCTCCCACCTATCTCACTCTACACCATGCATTATTTTAAACCCCTTTAACATGTCTCCCTTTATTCACCTTCTTTTCTAAGCTGAACAGTCCCAGTTGTAGCTACTCCTCATAGGGGAGCTGCTCTAGCCCCTTGATTATTTCTATTGCCCTTCTCCATACATTTTCCAGCTCAGTGTCCTCTTTCAGGTAAGGTGACCAGAACTGAACACAATATTCCAAGTGTAGGTGTATGAGAGATTTGTATAAAGGGAGTATGGTCTTGCCAGTTGTTTTCTGTTGTATTCTTAATTATGCATAGGCATAGAGTTTACCTTTGCATAGCAGGTAAAAAATTAAGCCAACATTTTTATGGAACTGTCCACCATTACCCCAAGATCCTTTTCTTGCTCAGCCACTGCTAGCTCAGATTCCATCAGTGTATAGTTGAAGTTGAGATTTTTTGCGTGGAGTAAACATGCATTACTCCACACTTGCCTATATTGAAATGCATTTGCCATTTTGATGCCCATTCTCCCAGCTTGGAGAAATTCCTTTGGAGGTCCTCATAATCCTGTTTGGTTTCAACCATCCTAAAAAGTTTAGTGTCATCAGCAAACTTGACCACTTCACTACCCACTCTTAATTCCAGATCATTTATGAATAGGTAGAAAAGCACTGGTCTCAATACAGAAACCTGTGGGACTCTACTGCTTACCTCCCTCCAATGGGAGAAAATGTCATTTAGTCCCACTCTGTCTTCAGGTTTTTTTTATTCAGTTAGTGAGCCATAAGAGGACCCCCTCCCCCTTTTGTTCCATGACTGCTTAGCTTGCTTAGGAGCCTTTGATGGGGGACTCTGTCAAAAACCTTTTGGAAGTCAAGTAAGCAATGTGTACTGGATTGTCCCTGTCTTCATGCTTATTGACACTCTAAAAAAACTCCAATAGGTTAGTGAGACAAGACTTTCCCTTGCAGAAGCCATGCTGATTAGTTTTAAACAGGGTTTGTCCCTCTATGTGCTTATTGATTCTACCTTTAATAATGCTTTCAATCAGTTTACGTAGATGTTAAGTTAACTGGCCTGTAATCACCCAGATCCCTTTTTTAAAAAATGGTGTCACATTGGCCATTCTCCAGTCTTCTGGTACAAAGACTAATTTTAGGGACATACTATTTGGTAAGACAGTCCGCATTACATGCTTGAATTCTTTGAGAACTCTAGGATTGATACCATCTGGACCAGGTGACTTGCTCACTTTCAGTTTGTTAATAAGGTTGAGAGTTTTGTCTTTTGTAACTACTATTTAACTCAATTCCTTGCACTCCCTTCCAGAACAGATAAGCTCAGGAATGGGTATCTTCTCTGCTGAGAAGACAGATGAAAAAGAATCAGCTCCTCTGAAATCTCCTTGTCCTCCATTAGTGCTCCCTTCATTCTGTTATAGTCCAGTGGTCCAACTGCTTCTTTAGCTGCTTTCTTTCTTCTGATATTTGTAAGTCATTTTTTAATGTTGGTTTTGATATTAGTGATGTGCTCAAGTTTTCCCCTTACTTCTCTGATTTGTCTGCTTGCATTTCCTTTGTGCAAGATTCTGGTCCTTTCTTTTTTTCATTTGGGCAAGACTTTCTTCTCCCTAATACCTTCCTTGACTCTGTGTTAACCATGCTGGTGATTTCCTGGACTTTCTGTCTTTCCTCACTTGTGGTATACACATTATCTGTTCCTCTATTATAGTGTTTCTTGATAATCTCCAAGCACTTCAAAGTGATTTAAACTTCTTGATTCCCCTGTCTGTTCACTTCAAAATCAGAAGGAAGCTACCCTTCTGTTGTAAGCCGCCCCGAGGCTTCGGCGAATGGGGCGGCATAAAAATGTTTTAATAAATAAATAAATAATAAATAAATGACTTAAATCCCAACTGCCTAGATCTGGGCCAAGGGTGAGAGCCAATTTTTTTTTAAAATCCAAACCCTTTCAGTTTGGTCAAATTTAATGTTGTACAAACAGAAGGCATTTCTGCTCATATGAGAGGGACCCACTGATTTCTCTGAGCTTTAACTCTTGGGCCATACCTGCGCTATTCTAGGATATACCAACCCTTGTGAATAGCTTTTGGAGGGTGCAGAAAGCTAGAAGCAGGGAAGCCCTAATCCAGAATTGGAACTCTATAGTTGGGACATAAGCCAGAGTTAAAAGTGTGAACCTTAGACAGAGTCTGTATCAGCCTTCAACCTGATGCTCTCCAGTTGACCCAAACTACAATTCTATCAGTCCTGGTCAACATGACCAGCAGGACATGGGACAATTTTGGACTACATCTGGAGGTTATCAGGGTGGGGATGATAAGATTTATGTAATGCTTAAGTTACAGCATTTGTATTTTAAGCAGAGGAACTGCATCACTCTTCTCTTGACTGATGATTCAGAACAAAGCTGAGATACTAATAACAGAATAATGCACCAAAAATCTCTAACAAAATGCCTCAGAGAAAGGATGGATAAGGATTTACTAAGTAGCAAGAGCCAGGATAGTAATCTTTAAAAGCATTAAAAGCATTTAAACCAATACATTAACCTAAAAGGAAGGAAAATATGAGGATATCTATAACAAGTACAGAAAGACTCAACAGTTCAATCTTACAATGGCTATAGAAAATCCACACTCCCCCCCTCCAATTTTATCCACCCATTGAAGCCATGTTTTCTGAAACCCTATTGCGCTATTCAAAGGAAATAGGAAAAAGATGCATATAAAGTTTTTTTTAACAAACCTTGTCATATCCCTCTAGTTCTCGGAGTTTCTTGATCTCAAAAAGATTACCCTCTACAGCAAGCAGAGAGATCTGAGAATCACTGAGAATACTCTGGGGAAGCACACTTAGTTCTAAACAGTTCTCTTCCAAACGCAGGACCTTGAGGCGTGGGCAGTGAGAGATCTGTGAGGAGATCTGTGAAATCTATTGCACGTTAAAAAGAACAAGAAAAACCAGTTATGGTTCTGTTGGTGCTAAATTCATACTATATTTTCCTGAGATACTCAAAACAAAACAAGAATGTGCTACAAAATATTCCATATCCACAGAAATGGGTCTATTTCATATGCATTCATCTCTTGATGCTATAACCAGGAGTGCAGAATATACACAAGTCCATTTAGTTATTTCAATCTATTATTAAAACATGTCTCTAACATTTTATGTGAACATCAATGAAATAATTCTGCTTTTTCTTTGATTTGTCAACTTTTCTATTCATCTAATTAACTCATGCCAATTTTTTTTTTTTTTTTTTTTTGCTTTGGGACAGGTGGTCCACATATGTTCTAATTCTGCTAATGGAATAGTTGCTTCAGAGGAACTAGAAGAGATAAAATCCCTACTTCTCTCAAAATTTACTCCATAGGATCAAGGGATCATCCAGTCTTATTTCTAAGGGAGATAAGGGTGGGTGGTGGGCGGGGGGCAGGAGAGAAAAAAAAAATCCTGTCATGCAAGCTTGTCATTTTAATTTGCCCACATTCAAACCCATTTGCTATTACAATGCTAAAGTTAAAAAAAATCTCTAAACTGGACAGTTTCAAGCAGTCACAATATTTATTTATTTTATTTATATTTATATCCCACCTTTCTCCCATTGTGCAACTTAAGGTGGCTACATGAAGTTTCCAGTGATCTCCCCTCAGATCCCATGCCAGCCCCAGACCTGCTTAGCTTCCACATAGTGGATGCCTTATGTGTTTTTAGACCATACTCTGGGTCACAACACTGTTTTTCCCCAGCGAACTGCCTCTAGTTTATATTTCCCTTGTGATACATACCTAAGTTAGTACTAAGAGTTGAAAATTAGAATGAAATTGGGAGGGCAAATAGACTAGTTGAAGAAAGATACGTTTTCAAAGCTAAGAGTCTTCTCAGCAAATGTAAGACAGTATTATAAAGTAGAGAATAAAATAGCAAAAGGGACTAAAAGTGATTAGGGCAAAACAACAGAAATGAGTGGAGCTAGCTTGTCCCAGGGTCCAGACTAAATGGCTCAGGAGGTCCCTTCTGACTTAGTATGTTTTGATGTTAAATTTTGCTCAAAGTGCTAAGTGCAATCTCCATTCTGGTAGTATCTAAGAAACATCTGTTTGTGGAAAGCTTCCTTAAAGATGTGTGTTACACAACCAGCTTCCAGACCTGGTTCTGATTCAAGTTTAGTTCAATGGCCTGCAGTTCTCCAACAGTGTCTGGCACACTCTGGATCTGATTTCTAGAGAGATCAACTACATCAAGGTGACGAAGCCTGCAGAGCTGGACAGGTACAGTTCTGAACTTGTTTCCAGAAAGACTCAGAGTCTTCAGTGCTGCAAGTTGTCCAAAGGCGGCAGGGAGCTGCATCAGTTGGTTATTATTCAGGTGTAGTATCTCTAGTTTTTTCAGCTTGCACAATTCTTCAGGTAGCACAGCTAGGAATAAATTATAAAAATAAGTCAAGCTGTTCAGAGGAGATAGCAATTGTTAACTAATATTTACAGAAAACATTAAATTTTATTTTGCAATATATGGAAAATGTAATGGATAAGGCACAATCACCTGGGTTAATGTGCAAATTCCACCTTCCCCTTCTCTAGCTGTTCGGAGACTTGGGAAGAGCTGGGTGTATATTCAAGTTGAATAAGTGCTTATCAAGATTATTCAAGTTGAATAAGTGCTTATTTTAAAATAGGAATATTTCAAGTATCTTAAAATAACAGGTGATTGTAATTATAATTAAATCTTTCTTAAATATGAAGTTTTTTTTAACCAGTTGTAAAATACCAGGACATTTAAATCTATATTATTGTTGTCAAATTACATTTCTTGTACCACCTGCAGCTGAAGCTCTCTCCACAGTTCACAACATTTAAGTCACCCATCCAGGTTTCAACCAGATCGGACCCTGTTTAGCTTCCAAAATTAGGTGGGATCAGGCACTTCAGGCTACATGGAAGCTTATGCAGTTATATATATAACTGCAGTTATCTCTGTACTTTAGAAGACAAGGGTGAAATTAATTTGTGGTAATTAAAGTTCAGTATAAAGCAAGCTGAAAAGATGAAGTCATACTCAGTTTGTTGTGATTTAAGGAAAGGCTTTTCAACACAGAGAAATTTCCTACTAGCGGTGGCAGAGCCTCAATCTTATTGTTGGATAAGTCTATTGTTCTGAGATTGCTTGCAAGCTTCTGGAGGTCTTCAGGAAACTGAAAAGGCAATTGAGATTAGAGAAAAATTATTCCAAATAGATACATTATAATAAGCTTATAAGGACAGTCAGTACAGTGAGTGGACTCCTAGCTTTTATGGACTTATTTACAAGATTGTGATAGATTAGAAAATTATGAATGGAATGGTATGGAGAAACTGGAGGTAGAGGAATTATTCTTAGGACAGAACTGAATTTGGAAACATTCCATTAAAACTGATTAATCAGAATTGGGAGTAAGTGAATAAAGTAGTTCATTCTACAAATAAAGTGTTCTTTATCAGAAGTTGCAATGTCTACGACAGTTATTACATAGTAGTAGTTTATTAGCTTAAAATTCTTTTAAAGGGTTAAATCTATCTCACCTGGTTGTAGCAGTAAGTAACTGTGAAAGTATGCATCCTAAACACACTATAAGTGTAAGCTCCAGTAAACTCAACAGAACTTATTTCTATTGTCAGAAGAAGATGCAGATATATCAGGTGGAACCCATTCAAATAATATTTTTACTCTTGTAATCACACTAACTGATTAAAAAACTGAGCTTCAAAATATAACAGCACTCTTGCATTTTCAGTACAAAAGTAAAAAGTATATGTGGTACATGAAGTAAGTCATTTACCTCAGAAAGGCCTTTACCAGTTAGTTGGAATACTCCTGTTTTCTGGGCTGTCTCCAAATGCGCTTTTAAGGCACTATTCCCCATCTTCCTGTTTGTATGTCAGAAACTGACAAAGGGTTCTGGCAGAGTCAATCTGAGTCACTCTCATTCACACTACATTAAGTTTCATAAGTTCATTTCTATAAAAAGTAAATTTAGAAAGTGCTTAAATGAATCATATGAATTTTCCTATTAATATGCTAATCTTAATACTAAAGTCCTCACTATTTCAGAGCAGCAGGCCAGTGAATCAAATACAAATTGTTCAAATCACCACTGTAAAAAGGTGAGTATAACACAACATGCATTTAGGGCACAGGCAACAAAAAAAGAATTCAACAAAAACTTTAATATTAAAATATGTTTTAAGTGGAAAGCAAAGCCTACTTCAATCCATTATATTTCCAAGTAAACATGCTTATGTTCTCCTCCTAAGATTAAGTACTTCAGGTTTGTGGAAAAAGCTCCAGTGCATAGGTAATATAAATGCAATCAGGCAGGCAGGCCAGTCCATTAAAGAGCTTTATGATGTCAGAAGCCATGGCAACTTATTTATAGTTGACCCTATTCCATGGGCACAAGATATTTCAAATTATGTAGTATGCCGTATTTATGGGGACTTAACTTTCAAATAAAAAGATGTGCACAGAATTAATTTGTATGGTGGATATTACGTACCCGTAGCAGGGTGTAATAAGCCCCCGTGAATACAAATAATGTTATCTTGCTTCGGGCAAACAGAATTGTACTTTACAATGTTCTACAGTAAGTCAGTCAGGACATTTTCTTTGCACCAACGTTTTCTTGCAATTTTGCTCCTGAAACCAGTTTGTCAACTAGAACAAGCCTGATGAACTTAAAATACTCTGCTCACTATACTGGTAAGTAACCAGGCTTAAAACGCCATTTCTTCCACATTTTATCCAAACACTAGTACAACAAAGATCATAAACACTTCTGTAATTTTTGGGTGGGGAAGGGGAAACTCAACAACAGAATTTATAGGTAGAAAGAACTACTATGACTATATGCCATGCAACATTGCCTATTGGTTTCATATATAAACAAATACCATGCATGGGTCAGTGCAAAGTCACTTGTATAAGAAGTTTCTTCAACCCTTCCCAGAAAGTATACTAAAGTTTTGCTTTCCACTCCTGAAAGCCTGAATGATTAGTAATAGAGAGGAATGCATCTACAGGCATAAATGAACAGGAAAAATGATCCAAAACAAGGATGTTGCAAAAAAGCAGTGTAAAAGAACTAATCTAATATTCCTAGTTTTGCCTTAATCCCATTTGCCTAAGGATTACTTGAACAGCCAACAAAAAATTCTCCCTACAATACATGAAATAAATGCTACAGATTAAGGTCATTTCGATTCAAATGCAACCTCCCTCAGAAGTGTGGAGGTATTGTAACATAAAGATTTTTAACTTTCCGATAACAACAACACTCTTGCTGTCCCCAACATTCCACTTCCACGTCCACCTATATGCAAGGACATACCGCAGCAAGTCCCTTGGACACCACGACTTGCCTTCCCTGAGTTGCTTTTCGCTTCCTCTCGAAGCAACCTCCCCACTTATCTCTCACCGGACAGGGCAGTTCTGCCGCCCCCTTCGACAGAACAAGGTGAATTAATTCCAGCAGCCGCAACTTCCTCTGCCTCTCTGAGCCGCAACAAACACGCCCACTAAGGATGGGACAAGGGATGGACAAAGGAAGGAAACGGGACAACTTAACTATCTCCCTGTTACCGAGCGACAGAAAGAGAAGTAGGATGGGGTACGTGCTACGTTTCCCAAGTCATCCCACGCAGACGGAAACAGCCCGAACTAAGCGCGTTTTTGAGAACCCTAACCTTATATGTAAGCTGGTGAGGAGAAATCATCGCCTTCAAAGAGCTTTACTTCCGACTATACATATAAGATGCCCAGAATGACTTCCATACACATTTCGCCGAACGCGAGTAGTGGTAGTAGTACCACGACGCACGAGCTATATAATCTCTTTCTCTGAGTATGATGCTTCTTAGAGGAAGGAGGGGGATCTACGATCTTCCTCAGACGACTAACCGAAGAGGAGGACGACCCTTTGAATCTCTTTACCTGTAACCACGGCTGCTACGCATCCTAGCAACAAGCGCACGTGCACAGTTCAAGAAATACCAGCTACGCTACTTTAATCCTCTAGGATGAATCAGCAGACCTGGATCGAAGCAGAATCTGTCCCTGTCTAGGATAATGGCGAATTCGGAAAATTAGCTTGGGTTTCTCTAAGGGTGGATGTTACCCAGCTTGCTCCATCCACTTCCGCCACAATCAATATGGAAGCAGTGATAATCCCTTATGTCACTTCCGAATACAGTTCAACTTGACGTTGTATTGCCGGCTCTCGTTGTTTTTGTCTAAGCTGCTGGTTTATCCACCCTATCTGGCTTTACTAAGTTAGATCCAGTAAGAGCTCTGTTGAGGTTGTATTCTCCTGATGGCCTAAACTCCTTAGCAGATATATAAATGCAACTCCATATTTCCGAATTTTGTAGCACAAACATAGGGGTCCGTGTTTCCGCTGCCGTTTGTTGTAGATTTAAAATGGTGATTAACGATTTTGCCGCACTCAACATGGCGGCGCAAGAAGCAAAGAAAGGTGGAGCTTCCTGTGCAGGCCAGGCGCGCGAAAGGGCATTGGGTCGGCGCCCGAAGCCCTGCCCGACATGGCTGCCTGCAACCCTTGGGATCCCGTAAAGCCAACGGCGGCTGGATTAATGCTGGCTCGGTGTCTGTCCGCCGGTGTGGTGTCCCAGGTGAGGCGGATCGTTCCCTTTTCCTCATAAATACATATGTCATAAATGTTACAAGACTGTCTGAAATCTGTTGATTTTATCCCAACTTCAGCGACTTACACCGCAATGGAAAAGGTACACAAGAAACTCCCCCATGCTATTTAGGGCGCAACCCTATGCATGTTTAGACAGGGGAAAAAATCATACGATTCTCCAGTATCCCCCCACTTCTGTTAGCATGACTGGCAGGGAATGCTGGTAGTTGTAGGACCTTTTCTGTCTAAAAAGGCCCATGGCTATGCCTGTTTTCAAAGTTATTTATATGCAGCCTGCCCAGTCTACTCGGACTGATAGCATTTTTTCAAAAGAGCCCTGCTGAGACCTTTTCGAAACGAATAGGCAATTTTTTAACCCTGTCACAACAGTTCTAGCACATTATTGCAGGCTTTGTATTCTTTTGGTTAAAGCACATTTCATTACATTTACTTTGAAATAAGCAAGAGAAAGCATATACATTATTTGAATTTCTGCTCTGAATGTGTTTCAGTGTAATTTAATAATTTTCTATTGTATCTATAAGCTTGTGTGATTGCAGGGAAGGAGCTTCATGGAAAAATAAAATGTGTTGGTCTAATTTCATTTACATCCTGTGCCAGTTTGAAGATTCTGTGTGATTTGCATGAATTCTTCAATGATTGATCTAGTTCACTGTTGCCACACTGCACTTGTATAGATGCTTCACATAATTTTATGTAAATATATTTTACATACATTTATATTAAGAGAGGACATAATATATTTATTCTGTGGAAATATGAACCATGAGAGACTGTATCTTTGTAATCCTTGAGTGAGAACTACAGTTGGTTTCAAGTGTGGAGTTAATTTCTGTTTCAAGCAAAATACACTTTGCTTCTCAGTATTTCTGCCCAAATTTTGTTCTCATCTCCACTTAAAAAGTAATTTATAAGTTGCACCAATGGAGGAAAAGCAACATAAAAACCCTTCCCCCCAACATTCCATGGTGTTGCGTATGTACTTCCCTATGGTGTGCTGAATCATAGAATAATAGAGTTGGAAGGGGCCAAAAAGGCCATCAGGTCCATTCCTCTGCTCAGTGTAGGAAGCCAAGATAAACCATCCCTTTCAGATGGCTGTCCAGCTGTATCTTGAATGCTTCCAGTGTGGGAGAACCCACAGCCTCTCTAAGTAATTAGTTCTATTGTGCTATAATCAAGAAGTTCCTCCTACTGTACAGATAGAATTTGACTTCCTGTCACTTGAGCCCATTATTTCGTACTCTGTACTTTGGAATGATCAAGGATGGATCCTGTCCTTCCTCTGTATGCCAGTCTTTCAAACACTTGAGTGCCTTCATATATCTTTTATAGGCTAAACTTCTCAATTATTTCAATCTCTCGTAGGACTTTGTTTCTAGTTCCCAGGTCATCCTTGTTGCCCTCCTCTAAACCCTTTCCAGCTTGTCTGTATCTTTCTTCAACTGTGGTACCCAGAACTGGACACAGATGAAGTCTAACTAATGCTGAATAGAGGGGAACTAGTATTTCACATGATTCGGAAGTGATAATTCTATTAATGTAGCCCAAAATAGCATTTGCCCTTTTTGCAGCCACATCACATTGTTGACCCATTCAGCTTGTGATCTATAACAATTCCAAGATCCTTCTCACTTGTAGTATTGTTGGGCCAAGTTTCTTCCATCTTGTAATGATGGATTTGGCTTCTTTTTCCTGGGTACAGAACTTGACATTCATCTCTATTGAATTTCATTCAGTTGTACCACATGCAGATGAACACACACAAATATTACAAATCAATGTCCAGTGCCTTCTGAGAAAAATTCAAAGAGCAGCAATCACTTCTGATTATTCTTGTGAAGACTCTCATGGTATTCTCCCCACTTGCTGAAACCACAGAGGAATAAAAGGCAGAAAGGATTTGGATGCCAAATATACATACAGAAGTTTATTTTTCTCTTTTGTTTGCAGATATGTATTTGTGAAATGTACTAAATATTAGATTGGCTTATAAAGATTCTTTACCAACCAGAAAGATAATAAAGGGTCCCATTAGTGACTTTTAGATGACATTGTTAAGTGCAGTAGCACTTATTTTACATTTGGAAAGGCAGGGCAAGCAGAAACAACCTTAAAAGGATATAGGTTTCTTCCCTAACTAATTAGCTCCTGTGGGTGAGGGAATGCAGTATGCTACTTTTCATGGTTAGCCTTGTAGACTGCATGTTTTTGGTGTGTGGAGTAGGGTTCAAGTTGGTGTGTTTAGAATTGGAGCCCCAATCTTGGGGACTCTTCACTTGCTTGTGAACTTTATGTTTGTAATGAACCCTCATATTTGTACTGTAGGAGACTCTGGATATATGCAGAAAACCAGCTCCTTGCTTTGTTCGTCTTTCAGAGGCAGAAGAAATTTCAGATCTCCATGCTGAAATCAACCAGGTAAAATCATCTTTTCTAAGACCAGGAATTTTATTGATAAAGGCAATAATAGATATAATTTCATTTGTACTGTCATAAATTACTTCATAGTGGTGAGGCAACACTGTAACAGTCCAGAAGCAAAGATGGTCCCTGTAGGCCATGGGTCCTCAAACTATGGCCCGTGGGACGGATCTGGCCCACCATGGCCATCCATCCGGCCTGTGCCGCCACTCACTGCCGGCGGGCGGAGAGGCAGTGGCTTGCACGCTCAGAGATAATCTCCGAATGAGCAAGCCACCGCAGCCTGCCTCCCGTATGGGTGCACTCACTGCTGCCTCTCAGTGCGGGTGGGGAGGTGGTGACTTGCTCTCTTGGAGATGGTTTTGGACTCGCTGGGAGACCCAAATTAGCTCACAGCATTCCTTGATGTCTCTAGCAGAAGCTCCTTGGAGAGTATGCCGATAAGCTGGCACTTTGCTAGATTTCAGAAATCAATACCTTAGAAGATAAAAACAAAGAACATAGCTATTTACCAGATAAAATTTTAAAAATCAGTCCTATAAATTATTTAGCCTGATGTGCCTTCTTTTTATTTAGGTGTATCCAAATATCTAGGGATGCAGGTGGCACAGTGGGTTAAACCGCTGAACTGCTGGGCTGGTTGATTGAAAGGTTGCCGGTTCAAATCTGCACAACGGGGTGAGTTCCCGTTGCTCCATCCCAGCACCTGCCAACCTTGCTGTTCGAAAGCATGCAAATGCAAGTAGATAAAAAGGTACCACTTCGGTGGGCAGGTAACAGCGTTCCGTGCACTTTGGTGTTTAGTCGTGCCGGCCACATGACCACGGAGACTGCGGACAAATGCTGGCTCTCTCAGCCAGGAAACGGAGATGAGCACTGCCCCCTAGAAACCTTTACCTTTACCTTTTATCCAAATATCTGCAAAGGTAGAAAATTCTTCCATTTATCAGAGGCATGCCTTTATCCCCTTGAGCACAGAATGCTCTAGTAATGGATTTTATTCTTGGTTCTGTGGCTTAGCTGTTAGTAATCTCATTAGCCAGGAATGTAGCTGTAGTGTCAGAGTGACAAACCCTTTTTGCCCTGGGGACCAGATTCCAATTTGGGAAGGGTCTTGGCTTTGTTCCATGAGTGGATGGGACTAAGAATACAAGGCATGGACATAGAGGAAGCAAGTGGTTAGGACAACTGTAATTTTTACTAGTTTGGATGTTTTTCCATGAACTGTACAAATGCTATCAGTTTTTTGTCTTCTCAGGTGTAAACCCTAGTTCATGCCTGCAAAGTGCAGCTCATGTTCCTCTAAACATCCTCTTATTTTAAGGCACTGATTGGAAGTAACAACAGGCTTGTGATCCAGGGAGGGATGTTTCCCATCCTCGATGTAATACTTCAACCTAGTATAGAAGCAAACCTTCTCATAGTGAAAAGGCAGAGATTCTTGATTCCTTTTGTAAAACCTTTTATATTTTTTTCAGCCTGAACACAATGTCTGGAAAAATCTTTATTACATTGAACATTTTGGATGTTGGCAGATAGAACTAGAAGACAGAGAGCTTGACTTTTTACTATGGAATTAGTTTCCAGGGTAATGATAAATTGATATCTGTTTTGAAAACCTGGCATTTCCGCATGCAAATGATTATCAAATTCCCCCAAGTTTTATTACAAAAGAAATTATATAGTAGCTCATGCAACTATAGAACAACTAATTTCCTTTTGTAAAATCTACCTGAAGATCACATTTTATTTTCATTTTTAGCAGTGATCATTATGTCATTATTTGCTTTTTGGCGCCAGGCCAAGACCTTTTTATTTAAACATTATTTTAATTGTTAATTTTATTTATTGATTTTAACAATTTTTTGCCAGGATGTTGCCAATATTTTATGTAATTGTATTGATTATATTTATTTATGGTTTGGAAGTCGTCCCAAGGCTTATGCAAATGGGGTGGCATATAAGTTCTCCAAACAAACAAACAAACAAGCAAATAAATGTGCACATGGTGGGCATGTCGTGAGCAGAGCCGGCTGGTGCCAGAGGTCAGACTAGATGGCCCGGGAGGCCCCTTCTGACTCGCTATGTTTCTATGTGACTGTAAATAAAATGTAAATGTATTTCACTTTTTTAGATTAATTTGGAAGCTGAAACCCTGCAGTTGGTAAAAGATACAGCAGATATTGCTCATCCATTCTACTTGAGTAAGTTTTTGTTTTAGGCCATTGCTTGTCCATGCAGATCAAGAACTACCATTGTGGGGGTTAATGTAAAATTTTTATTCAGCTTTTTGTCTTCATGAGAACCAGTGTGGGTGTGGGGTTAGAATGCAAGACGGGACCCAGTAGATTCAGGTTCTAGTCTCCACTTGGCTATGGAGCTCATGAGGTAACTATGGGCCTGTCACAGACCCTCAGCCCAATCTACTTCACAGGGTGATTGTTCTGAAGACAAAATGGAGCTATGTAAGTTGCTGTGGGTTCCTGACAAAAGTAAAAATGGTAGGATATAAATGCAATATGATGATGATAATGATGATATAGATGTAGGTATTTCTTCTAGGGTGCTTGATTCTATAGCAAAGGTAGCACTATCAAATAACTACTGTCTAAGCATCTAATGAGCTAATAGATCCTAGTTGCCCGAACTTCAGCTAGGAATAATGAGCTCTGCAAAAGGTAAAGTAATAAGCCCTGATAGTCAGCAATTCAACACATTTTAAGAGTAAATTCTAGAAACTGACAGTTCTGAATTTCAGGCCTGAAAGGGGAAAGCCCCCATAAACTTGGAAAGAGAGCTAACATTATAATCATTTCTGGCATAAGTTAGTAGAAGAGACATTTTGAAATCAGACACTGTCCTTCACAAGTATGCGTAGATCTGCCCTTAAATGCTAAGACTGCAATCTCAGAGTAAGTCCCATTGAACTCAACAGGTAAAATTCAGTTACTGTTCCTTTACCAAGCGAAGACTTCCACTACCAGAACGGGGAGGGAGCGATTACCCTTTCTTCACTGTAGCCCCCTCCACTGCCCAAAATATGCTCTACAGAATTTGGGGACCCTCTGAATTAGGTGTTGGGGTAGTGTGGAAGGCTGAAAAGAGGGCAAGATCTGTTGCATAAGCAGAATTCTGCTCACAACATTAGATATAACCCAATATATTTCTAAAAGGTGGAATAGAAATTTATATAATAATAGTACATAAAAGTGGGATTGTTGTACAAAATGACTTTTTCAGTAGCTTTGCTGCTAGCATATATCTTATTCATTAATTCTGACATTTTTAACTCTGACATTTTTAAAAAATCTTCTGTAGGTCAGAAATGCCAGATTCTCCAAGAAATGAACAGGCACCTAGAAGCAGTACTAAAAGATAAAATATCTCTTAGGCAGAGGCTAATGAAGCCATTGTGTCAAGAAAGTCTGCCTATTGAAGCTGTCTTCCATAGGTAACAAACTGACAGGCTCCTGTCTTTATCATATTTTGTTTATGTGTTATGTAACCCATCTCTTCTATAGATAAATGAAATACAATGAGAACAAAATTCAATTATAAAAATGCAGTTTACAACAATAAAATTATTTAAAACAGCTAAGTATTGCTGTAAACAGCCAAAAAAGGAAACTTGCAATCAGCCAATTTGCTATTTTAAAGGTCTCTTGAAGAGGCTGGGGTTTTAAACCTGCAGAATCAGGGCAGAATGATGCGTAGGAGAGGATGGCCTTCAACTGGCTATGGCCACATGATGAATGGGCACACCTCCAGGGTAGAGTTTCAACATGTGGGTCATAGCATGTTCACAGAAAGAGTTGGGCCATAAATGCCCCTCAACCCACGAAGGATGAAGTAAAATATGCAGACTGCAAAATATGAGAATTTACAGTCTATCCCTGCTCAGCAACAGCCATTGGAGAGAATTCCATTTTGTGTGTTAGAAGATGTTTGAATTGTGTCAAGTAACTTGCTGTGTAATGAGGAAGCTAGGCCAATATGTTAGGTTTGTTGAGAGATCAGCTTGAGAATAAGATGTGTTTTTCTAGAAATACGCTGCTAGAAGGTTATTTGGTAATCAGTATACATTCCAACAATTTTATATCGATGTAATATATATAGATTGCTTGACTGTTTCCAAGCTTACTTTTTAATGGTCAGAATTGACCTTTAAAAGGTTATCTCAAGGAGTATCCGATGCTTAAAATCAGCTTTGAGGGCTGTAGTCTCCCATGCATCTCTAGCAGAAGTATAATTTCTGGGAGCTAGGGACAAGACCTTGTTAGCAGTAGCACCACAGCCGTGGAAAACTTTTCTTGGGATGTCTTGACACATCCTTTTTATTGTAGATGCACCAAGAACACTTTTTTAAAAATCCAGGCATCTGACATGTAATCATTTCTGCTTTTGAAGACTGCTTTTCTGTTTTAATTCTGTTAATGCTATTTTGCTTTTCCATCAATTTTATAATTAGTTCGGTGTTTATGCTAATGCTCATCTTGATATAGCAGTCAAAGTACATTTTGCATAGAAAAGGGGCATAAAAATGGAGTTAAAGAATTACATCTTTGCTCTTTAGCTTTTGTCTTTTATTCATATTTGTGGCAAATATGTGGAGTGCTTGGGTTTGTTTCTGGCATACTTCAAAGACCAAATATTGTTAAACCACAGACTTTTGAATAATCTTGTCTATATTTATTTCTAGGTATGTAGTAGAATTATTGGCAATGGCAGTGGCTTTTATTGAAAAACTAGAAACCCATATAGCCACAATAAAGGGCATTCCTCAAATACCTCTAATTATGAAAAACATGGTGAGTAGTCTTAGCATGTCACTATTTACCTTTCTTTAAAAGCCAGCACAATTTATCGCTGTTATAAAGTAGAAACATAGAAACCAAACAAGTCACAAGGGGGCTTCTGGGCCATCTAGTCTGACCTCTGGCTCCAGCCGGCTTCACTTGTCCAGCCTATCCTTGAACACCCTCACTGATGGGGCTTCAACCACCCCCAGTAGAAGCCCATTCCAAGTAGTGGCTAAGAGCGTGAAAACTGACCTGAAAGTCCCAGCTATAGTTCTCAGCTATAGTTTTTCTGGACTGTCTTGTAAGGTTTTTTTTTAAATATCTTAGCCTCAGAATAATAGTATACCTTACAGAATTAGCCTGTACCTTGAAATAATGTATGTGAAGCATTTGAAAAAAAACCCAACCCTGCCATTTCATTACTGCTTCATCTGATTCTGAGCTTCCCCAGGAATGAGAGAAATCTTGTATCTATATGTGGTTTCCCCTTAAGATCTGAGACAGAGGCCCTGCTCTAGGAACCCTCTGAAAGTCAACACCCAGAGAAGGGCCTTCTCTGTGGTGGCACCCCAGTTGTGGAATGTACTCACCAGGGTGGTCTGCCTGGCACCAATGTTATATTCTCAGCGCCAGGCGAAAAACTTTTTATTTGCTCCATATTTTAATATTTAAATATTTAACTAATTTTAATTTATTCTCAGTCACAGATTCTTATGTTCATTGTGTAATTTTATTTTGCTGTATTTATTAATTGTAATTGATTCTTATGTTGTAAGCCATCCTGGTACGTTTGAGAAGGATGGGGTAGAATTATTGTAAATTAATAAATACATATCAAAATAAAGATGTTTCCCTGGAGTAAGTTGGTAAGTCCACATCCATGTACATTAGTGTCAGTTATCTTTGCTAGAATAACACTTTGGGATTAGCTCTCATATTGCTTGAAGCCTTTGGAAAACTTGCTAGAATACCCATTTTCATATTATATTCCAGGACAGTGCACTAGCAAAGGTGATCTTGTTAGTGACAGCAACAGAAGAACTGGCTGAACAAATACTGGAGTTGAGAAAAAAGCAAAAGGAAATCTATTCTGACAATTCACAACTGACTATTGGATCAGATTCCTGGTTCAGAAGTATACGATAGCATATATTTTCACTTCTGTCTTCATTCTAATGCTGTTTAGCAGGTTTGTTCAACAGTGATAGAACAGAGTTGTGCTTTTATTCTTCCTCTCAAATTTACCACCACTTATGTCTGTCTCCTGAAATAAATATTTGTACCCAGAACTAATATTATGTAGAATTTGACAGAGGTTAAATGACTTCTTGAGGGTTGATTGACCTCTTGAACCTCTTTGAGAAAATTTTTTAACAAACCAATTTCCTGACACTGCCTTAACATTTATGTGCACATGTCCTGTATTTATGCAAAGTGAATAAACTAACTTTAAAAAATCTTTCCAGTTATTTGTTGTATGGTGCCTGATTCCCTAAACAAATAATGTCCAAATCAATTCATAAAAGAATGACAATGGTGCAATAAATCAAATGAAAAATTATTATTGATAAGTATTAGAATTCCAATGTTAATGGGAATATAGCCCTATTTAGGCATTTTAAATCTTTAACAGATGAGAATGAGAAAAATCACACTTGTTCTGCTCCTCTGCTGTCACTGTTCTTGTTGCCACCCTTCCCTTCAGGGTAAACTTCTGTAGTTTTGAGCTTTTCACATTCCTGTAGGTTCCCCGTGATGAAGAATCCTGGTTTTCTAGTGTTTTGTATCACAAGGGGAGCTTTCATGGATGCAAAAACTCTGTGATCAAGAAGTTTGCCCTAATCATGAAGGTGACAAGAGCTGTTCCCAGCTGTGACATGTATACAGATTAGTATCACTGCTTACAGGGTTTGATTTAAGGTTTTTGATTCTATTTGGGATACATTCTATTTGGGAGAGATGTTGGCTGAGATTCTTGTTTTTCATAATTCTCAGCTACTATGCATCTATCAGTGACATGGTATGTGTGTGATTGTTATATAACAATATGGTTATCTTGTGGAACTCACTGCGCTGTGAGAATAAACTGATGCTCAGTGACAGGGGATGCAAGACTTGAGTCCATTTTTCCATCTGCCACTTCTGTTCATTATAGCCACTGGCATAAACAGCTTAGCTATTTATGTGTAGCTATTTATGTGTAGCTATCCTAGCAACACCAGGATAGCCAGAGACTGCTTCCTACTACTGGAAGGGTCTGCCTTTCTGAAATTGCTTTTTATGGCCCAGTCAGTACCAGGAAAAGGGTTTACTGCCAGAAGTACATTTCTATACATTGTGCTATTTGGTATTGCTGGAAATATAGTGTTGTAGAAGGAAGATTTTGTTGCAAAGGCACAAAACTCCTGAGCAGGATACATGCCCACAAATATGCAGCCTTGGAAGCAGACATTTATTCATTTATTTGATTTACTTTGCTCCTTTTTCTGTTAAAGAACTCAAAAGTGGCTTACATCATTCTCCTCTTCCTGGCCCAAGAGGACTGGCCCAAACATGTCTTTAAACCCTAAATGTTATTCTCTCTCTCTGGTTATAGTTCCAGTTGTTTTGTAATTAAGTTCCATGTGGATAATTGCATGGTGGGAGAGGCAGGCATAGAATATACCAGGACCTGCTTCAGCTGGACTTTCCCACCCCTCACAGGACCATCTACCATCAACAACCCTGATTAGTTTACATATTGACAATGTGTTTTGTTGAACATGTTCTAATAAAATGCTAAAAGGTGAAATCTTACATACATGTTTATATAAAAAGCTTTACAACTCCAGTTGGCTGGGGAACGCTAAGAACTGTGGAACTTCTTTCTGCTTTGAACATGGTATTGGATTGCACCATTAGAAGGATTTATAGCTTGTATAAATGTAGGAAACTCTTTTTAGTGGGACTAACGTCCAGGTGCATAAAATGGCTTTTATTTTATTTCTGTTGAATTGTTCTGAATGTCATTACCCACAGATGAAATCAACAAGCAATGTAAAGCAGAAAATCCCATTAGTATCTGTTTTTATATGGAATAAAACCTAAATCAGAAGACAGTTCAATGAGAATTGTGTTCAGAAATCCAGCCTCAAGTTGCAAGTATTATGATTGGTTCAAAATTGAGAAAGGAGAAAGGAGTTCAGCAAGGCTGTATACTGTCGCCAAGCCTGTTTTACTTAAATGCACAGCACATCATGAGAAAGGCGGGCCTAGATGAATCACCAGTTGGAATTAAGATTGCTGAAAGAAATATCAACAACCTCAGATATGCAGATGATGCCACTCTAATGGCAGAAAGTGAAGAGGAACTAAAGATCCTCTTGATGCGGGTGAAGGAGGAGAGTGCAAAAGCTGGCTTGAAACTCAACATTAAGAAAACTTAAGATCATGGCATCCGGTCCTCTCACTTCCTGGCAAATAGATGGGGAAGAAATGGAGCTAGTGACAGATTTAATTTTCCTGGGCTCCAAGATCACCACAGATGGGGACTGCAGCCAAGAAATTAAAAGACGCTTGCTCCTGGGGAGGAAAGCTATGGCAAATCTAGACGGCATACTAAAAAGCAGAGACATCACCCTGCCGACAAAAGTACGTATAGTCAAGGCTATGGTTTTCCCAGTTGCAATGTATGGCTGTGAAAGTTGGACCATAAGGAAGGCTGAGTGCCGAAGAATTGAGGCCTTTGAATTGTGGTGCTGGCAGAGACTCCTGCGAGTCCCTTGGACTACAAGGCGATCAAACTGGTCAGTCCTAGAGGAGATCAACCCTGACTGCTCTTTAGAAGGCCAGATCCTGAAGATGAAACTCAAATACTTTGGCCACCTAATGAGAAGGAAGGACTCCCTGGAGAACAGTCTAATGCTGGGAATAATAGATGGCAAAAGAAGAAGGGGACAGCAGAGAATGAGGTGGCTAGATGGAGTCACTGAAGCAGTTGGTGTGAGCTTGAGTGGACTCTGGGGGATGGTGGAGGACAGGAAGGCCTGGAGGAACGTTGTCCATGGGGTTGTGATAGGTCGGACACGACTTCATGACTAACAACAACAAAAAAATTATGATTAAATTTTCAGGAAAGGAACTTCCTAGAAATTACAAGCTGATAAGTGAAACCCAAGCTAAGTGGCATGTACATTTCTGCCTGTAATGACATATTTAAGAATAAAAAGTAAATACAAATTCTAAAGGAAAAATATTAGTTTTTATTAGAAACATAGAAACAGAGCGAGTCAGAAGGGGTCTCCCGGGCCATCTGCTCTGACCCCTGGCTCCAACCGGCTCCACTCATGACATGCCCACGCAAGTCCCCAGCCTCACCTAATCTCCTATACGGATCTCCCCCATCCAGCTTTGGGGAGAACACAGAGGCAAAATAGTCATTTAGCACCTGTGCCTGTTCCCTCATATCAGTCACTGGATTTCCTTATTTAGTGGTTCCACCATTTGTCTCCCCTTCTTATTTACATGCTGAAAGAAGCCCTTTTTGTTGCTTGGCAAGTCTCAGCTCGTAATCAGCTTTAGCCTTGCGAAGAATCCTTATTAATTTATTGGATTTTTATTTTGCCACATTAGCCAATAAGGATAGCTTATTACATTTAGGAAGTTGAAAAACATACATTCTGGCATCATTTATCCTGCATTGCACTAGTCCAAAATCATTTGAAGCTTTTCCTATGTTTTAGGGTGCAATCCTATGTAAGTTTAGATAGGAAAAAAAATGTGTGTCAACTCCCAGCATTCTCTATTCAGTCAAAAGCATACAATTGTGCCCTTAGATAATTTAATTGTAACATGTCACCCAAGAAAAAGCAAAATTAAAAGGTTGCCTTCTATCAGATGGTTATGATAACATCAAACAGGGCGCACATTAGAATGCTGATCTTTCTCATCTGGAATACAGGTGCATTTGTCACCAGGGGGCATAATTTCTATATAATTTCTGTTCAAATGAGGTTGTTTTACCTGCAGTTGTTACCTCTTCTGTATTTTAATTGTATCTTCACTGTCTTCCTTGTTGTTTTAACCTGTGGTATACCACTCTGAGTGAATAAGAACAGCATAGATATTTCTGTATAAATCATTCCTTGTATTTTCACTTGGTACCAATAATGAACTGCTTTAGTCTATAATGTGAACATTTCGCTTTGATGCTCTGCTGCCTTATTTTTAACTTGACAGTCATTTCCTGGGGTTGCTTAAGACTAATCAGTTCTATATTGTAAAATGGAAATAACAAAGTAATGGTGTGAGGGTGAACACAGTGGAAAAAGAACTATGATTTACTATGAAATGCAAATGATCAACAGTTACCAGGCTTTCTGAAAGCCCATAATTCCTTTGAAGCCATATCTGTCAAACTCGCATCCAATATTGCCTCCCTTTGCCAACATCAGTAATTAACTTAGTCACTTAGCCTAGGAGGAACTTATAACTATTATTTATTAGATTCATAACCCTTTTTTCTTACAAACTCAAAATGGCTTACGTCATTCTCCTCCTCTTGCTCTTAGTCTTATCCCTACAACAGCCCTGTGAGGTAGGTTGGGTTAAGAATCTGTGGCAGGCCCAAAATCAGCCAGTTGGCTCCATGGCCAAGCAGGGACTAGAACCCAAATTGGCTGAGTCCCACTCCTGTGCTCTTAAATGCTGCACCATACTGGCTCTCACAGCAGTGATTGCTCCTCAGAAGTGTGCTGTGTTCTTTCCTTGATGGCTTTTCATTGACTTTTGGTTTGCTCCTTATTCTGTTTTGTTAGAGTGAACTACTTTGACCCTTGCAAAACTTTGTAAGTTTTGTAATACGAAAATAATGTTAACTGATTAGATCTAAGCTGGTATTTAGTTCAGGCATCTTTTGCTGGGAAGATGGGATATAAAACACCTTCAATATTCTATTGGAGACCATCTAGCTTGCGAAATATTCTGGTAGGCCACTGTAGATCTGGCCTTGGGTAAAATGGAGTGGATCCAGGGTAATCAAGAATGTAAGAAGCATGCCATTGTTTTGGATGAGCTTCAGGTGTGTGCCTATAAACAACAGCTGCAAGCTGCTTGGAGGTATGTATGGCTAGCAAAGGTGTTGGTACTGTACCTGCAAACAGCAACAAGCAAGTGAGTCTGGTCACATTACATCAGGCATGGGCCAGAAGATGCATCTTGTAGCCCAGGAATAGGGGTTATTCTGTTTTACTGTATGACTGACCACTCTTGTTTAGAATGCTGAACTGAGAACCTGGGTCTAACTGATTAAGTCAGTTAAGTGATACTCAGGATGGCTTAACAATAAAAACAGCCTGACCTGTTTGTGAATTAAACTTGCTTCAAGGTAGACCGAGTGGATTCCTAGTTTTGGTTTTAAAAGGTAGGCCATGGAGGGTGGAAACGTGCCCTCTCTCCTGCACTCTTTGCACTGTACTAAAGTGGGCATGTTCTGGAGAGAAGCCAGATCTGATTTACTTATTTTTGATCTGCAAAATATTATTAGTATCACAATTTTTGATGAACCATTGTTCAGCGTATATATTTGCGCTGCTTCCAGCCTGCCCTGCAAGAAGTGTCCGTAGGATTTTTCCTACGGCTTCAGTTAAAGAAGTTTAAGCGGTCCAGCGAGTCGCAAACCCAGCCTGCCGAAGAAGGCGGAAAGAAAATCAGAGCCAGCCCCGAAGCAGCCACCCCAAGGAGCCCCTCCCCATTTCCTCTTGTCTTCCCAGGCCGGCGGGCCCTTCCCTCAGGAGCAGCCGCGCTGGGCGGGGCGGCCGGGCCGTGCTTCCCTGCCCCGGAGTCTACGAGAAGCCTGGGCGAGGCAGGCGGGCGGGCGAACGGGCGGCTGGGGGAAAACTGTGTGATGTGCAGTCGGGGCTCTGGCGACCGCAGCGGTGGCGTCTTTTGCCGTGACTCAGACGGACATGGCGAATGTCAAAGTTGCTGTGCGGGTCCGGCCACTCAGTAAAAGGTGGGCTTGCGGTTTTGGGAAGTTTGAGGGAAAGCCCTCCAGAGCGTGCATTCACGCACATACACACACGCGAGGAAAATATGCCTGTGACGCTCTCGCTTGTCTCGGTGGGACTGACTAAGGGAGGGCGTCTTGCTAAGCCGTGCTTGTGCGTGACCGTTATGTGCGACTCGTGTTTCCTCCTTCAGGGTGTGTTTGTTTTGTGCATGTGCTGACTGGGTTGCTCATTGAAAATATGAGAAGGCAACTCTGAGGTTCTGGGGTTTCCAGTGTAGAAGTTGGTGCTGTGGCGATACAGAAGTTAGGAAAGAACGACGAGAGCGAGTTTTTGTCACGTTCAGCGCGATGCTTATGGAACTGGCCATAAAGTATTAAGGAGGGAGGTGGTAGTAAAAGCATGACCATACAGGGTAGGACTGCTTATTGGTTCCCAGGGTGCGAAGTACGCCTGTTCGTAATGCTCAAAAGGGCTTTAAGAGGGAAACGCACTTGATGAATATAGATAGGCTAAGGAACTTACAAGGGTTTTACTCCCAAGTATACTGCATGAGTTATGCTTTGTCTGCCTGAGATTCATATTGTATGAACTTTCTGTATTACTACAGTCATGTTCTGAGTAACAAAGAACCTGGACTACAATTGAATTGTTTAAAGTCTTTTCTAAGTAATTAGTTTATGGGACATAAATATGCAGTTGTTTCTCATTTGTTGTATGGCATCATAGTTGTCTCCTAAGCCGATACTTAAGTTATTGAAATATTGTCCTTTCCATGCAAACTGCAACATTTTGTCCCTGAGAGGAATCTTTTCCTTTCTTGATTCTGTGTTTTGTGGAATGTAGTTATAATTCCAACAGATGCCTGCTCCATTTATATATTAGTTGCAGCTAAAGATGTGCAACACAGTCAACTGCACTGTCTTATAAACATTATAGGTAATCATTTAATGCCAGTGTTTGCTTTGTCCTTGCAGGGATATGCTGCTTCAAAGCTGGAGTACTCATTCAGAGTTTCTTTGTACTGTAACTGCCAAAATCTTGAAAAGCAGCAAGATACCCCTCTTCCCACACAACCCTACTAGTTTCAGAAACCTTTACCTGAAGCTATTTTATTGCTGCTGTGCAACTGCCAGCACTGCTTGCACATTTTGTCTCTGCAGTACTTATTTCCCTATCATGATACTGTTTTACTGTCTGAACTCAAACTAGAGACAGTAAAGGCAGAGCTCCCATCTTTCTACAGTCAGCTATGCTGAGCATGGATAGGATTACATCTTAAAGTACTAAAGATCAAACCTGTTATTGGGTTTTGTTTTATTTTTACAACCTATGGGTGCAATTTTAAGCATGTTTAGCCAAATAAGCCTTACAACTCCCAGCATTCCCTATCTAGAATATTTGGCTAGGGAATGCTAAGAGTTGTAGACTTATTACTTGTGTACACTTTCTACTTCTTTTGATTGTCAGATATGAACAGAAAAATGGTAATGAAAGTTGTGATGAACTGAAAAGCCTCTAAGTTAACAAAGGAAACATAGATCTGAAAAGATCTGTGCATCCATTCCCTTATTACTTGTCTCTCCAATAATGGAAGATTTCTTTCCATTTTTAAAAGTAGAAACTAGCATTTAAGAGATTTGCCAGGTGCAACAGGGATCCTCTTTCTCTCAACCATCCTTTGATTTTGTACACTTTTCCCTATTCTAAAATGTATAAATGTTTCTCCTAAGACTTAATTAGTGATAGGAGATTTGAGCTAAAACATTCTATAGTTTTTATCCTTGTCCCTTTGCCTTCAGATGGGATGCAGCCAGCAAGAGCTTCTCTGAAACAGAATTTGTCCCATGGGCTGAAAGAGGTCCAAGTGATTACAAAATCAGGTCATTTTATAACTCTTTGTAATGTCTCGACCTGTGCCTCTAGTCTTATTTGATAGACTTATTGTTGTAATCTGGGTTTAGGTATTCAGTAATTCTGCGCATCCTGAACACTGATACATATGTTTATGTATCAGTGATGATTTACAAGGTCATGGGATTGCACGTTCATCTCTCACAAATACTGGAGAGATCATTGTGTGAGTACATATTTGGTTGTGTATAATGGGATAATGAAAACCATGTGTACTATGGAAGTTTGGGGAGGATGGGGAAAAATGAACTTTGGAGCTGTTCAAAAACTGTATACTTTAGTAACATAACGCCTCCTTTGGAGAAGAGAGAGAATAACAAGAAAGTAACAGATTGAACAAGTAAGTTCACTGTAATGGTCTTTATTGTTCATCTACATTCTTTGATTTTTCTTCATTTTATTTTTAAAGCTGGCCCAGTCATGCATTCTGAGTACTAGCAGGTATAATAAATAGCCAGTTTCTCAGCCTTTGAACTTACTGAAGTATATTTTTCAAATACAGCAGTGTGTTAAAACCTCTGTATTTGTCCGCAAGAGTTATGTAGTGCAGGTTCCTAGCAGCGCGTTTTTTTCCCCACCATTTATTAGGAGAGATGAAAAAGGAATGAATAAATAAAAGATTTATGTGATGTGGCGGCTTGTGGGTAACAAGCACAATGGCTTATGCTGTTTTGAACCCAGTTTAACTTATTCCTGGACAACAAGCCAGCCCAAGAATCCATGGCTTATTGGACCTATAATGGGTTGTCATGCTGTCTGAACCTGAATGACGTACTCCATAAGGATTGTGGGAAATGAGTTGCAAGAGACTCCGCAAGATCAGGAAAAACCCACTGCAGAGTTTATATGGGCCAATGCCAACAGTCTCAGTAGTGCCTGAGCAATGCCTGACACTGGCATCACTCCCCATTGCAATATTGAGTCCTTTTGTGCTCATCATGACTTTTCCATCTCCTTTTCTTTCTTTGTCTGGGGATCATTTTTCATAATCTCTGATCTGACAGCTAGTTACGGCACCTTCAAAGCATCCACATGGTATATTGAAGGGCCTGCCGTTGGTTTATTACACCTTTAACAGAAAATGCATCCCAAATGTGCCTTTTCTCTTCCTTCCTTCCTTCCTTCCTTCCTTCCTTCCTTCCTTCCTTTCTTTTTTGTTTAAAAAAAAAACTGCCATTGTTTTGATCGGACTGGTGAAAGTGTGCACTTGCCTAATCAATTTCCTGGTAGTCCAAAAACATAGGCATCCCTAATGGGCACTGACCCAGTGAAACTGCCAAGAGCGTTATTTTTTTCCCTTCAGTTCCCCTTGATAGCTGTCACAATACAAACTGTCAAGACAAGCCAAAGCTAGAGTATCCTTTGGAGTAGGATTCGCAAAGGTTTTTTTTTTTAAATTTGGACTTGTCCCTTGTCAAATTCCTTTCTCTTTTCCAGCATTTCCCAAAATTCTAGATGCTTAGGAAAGTGGAAAAATGCAGACCACACCCTTCTATAGGACCATGATTATTTGACAGCTAGTTTTCAAAATCTTGATTTCTTTTTAAGTTGTTGTTTCATTTGATTTTGGCATGGTTTCTTTGGATTTTAACAAGGATGCAGGAAGTATGGATGAGTAATTCTCTGGGCAGGATACTGGGACTTGAGATTGGTTCCCAAAGCGGACTGTTCATACTAGACTTCTTTTTCTCTTCCTTGCTTTTTTAGCATGTTCAAAGAGTTTAAACACCTAGTAGTTCCTTGATATTTTCTTTACCCAATGAAGGAAGAACCTTTGGAAAGGAGACTTTGCCCTCTTGATACCTCCCAAACTTCCTCTGCTGGCTCCACAATCCTTGATCTATGTTAGTGGGGGGCATTGAGGCCTAACTGAGCTAAGCCAACAGTTTTGTTCAGGAATCATGGGCAAGGTTGTTGCAATGTATTTGGGGCTGTGTTTGGGGCAGGTTGATGATATCCTCCCAAAACTTTGATTAATTCAAGAATGTATACAAGTCTTACAAAGTTAGACCATTGTCAGGAGGTGGAGATAAAATGAAAGAAGTATTTGGAATACAGTGTTAAACAAGTGCCAGTAAAGTTTTTAATGTACATTTATTGATTTCACAGTGATATCAGGAACATTTGGAAAGATATATTGAGGCCAATGCATTGGCTTCCTTAAGAATCAGTTCATTACATCTTTGTAGCTGATTTATCTCTTAATCTATAGCCTTTCCAATGACTATTTTATTTTTATCTTCCATATCCTATCATTCTCTTTTGGTGCCTGAAAGTGACAGCTGATATGAATACTACATGCTGTAACAGTGATCCATGTGGCAAGCTCACATCAAACAGAATGTTTGTGACATCTGCCTCACTTATGTGGCACAGGAGGCCACATACAGGTGTGTGTGAAGGAGAGATAATTTCCCAGGCTGTACTGATAAAGCATCTTTTCCTTAATACTTATGAATATAGTAGTCCTTTCTGACTGTAGGACTGTGTATTAATAATGTAATCCAAGAAGCATTGCCTTTGTGCAAGTTTTATTGCAAACTTATGCATTAATCAAACTGAGAGCCCACTTCTACAGGCGGTACCTGTCCTGTTGTGGCACATTACCGTAGGATAAAATGAAGTGATGGAGGCAGGGTAGTACATTGGGATACTGGGTAAGTGGCTGCTGCTGGACAACAGTTTTCCACTTCCAAGTTTGTCATCTTTCTTATCCCTCCTCTTTACACAGAAACAGACCCAGGAGTATGGGGGGTTGAAATGGAGAACTGGAACTTTAATCTGATGACTGCAAGGCAAATTAGATGTGATATTAAATGCTTATTTGAAGTTAAGTGAATGGTGTTTTAAAATAAACACACTTATACTATATCCTGGTGATAATTACTGGGGTAAGTGTGGAAGAGGAATTTATTCTTTCCTCCAATAAGAACATAAGGGTTGTGATGGAACAGACAATCTAGCCCAGATTTCACTTATACCAGCTGTCTATGAAAAGCTGTTGGTAACCTATTGTATATTTAATTATATATAGGTTCAGCAGAAGTAAGCATTGTCAGAGAAATTAGTTAAGAGACTGTTGCTTGCATCTGGATCTATTAGAATATACACTGAGAGGCTTATAGAAAAAGGTTTAAAAGGTTTATTTTCTCACAATTCATGAGCAAATTACAAGAAGGAGACATGTTTATGCAGGATATCTTGATTCAAAAGGAAGATACATAGATGGTTAGCTTAGAAGGAAGAGAGGGGGAACATGCTCCTTCTTTCAAGGTGGGGGGGTGGTGAAATAGTCATATTAAATTTTTGCCTTTTCAAGTGATAGAAAAGGGGACAGTAAAGATACAATGGAGCAGAGAAATCGGTCTCATTTTGTCTCTCCTCCCATGCTGGTTGGTGGACAGGACCAGGCAGTAGTAATGCAGGCAATATTACATATACTTAACAAAAAACCCACAAGCAGAATGAGTACAACAGTCTTGTCCTGTTCACATTCTCAGCCAATGGTGTGCATAGGTGTACTGCCACTGATACTGGAAGGAGCACATTGCTTCAGGACCAGCAGCTGCTGATAGCTTCATTCTCCATGAATTTGTCCTGTTTTCTTTTAAAGCCATTCAAACTGGTGGCTCTCACTACATCTTGTGGTAGCAAATTCCATAATTTAGCTAGGCACTATGTGAGGAAGAATTTCCTTTTATCAAGTATTCCTTTGATAAAGTATTTCCTTGAATCTCCAACTAGTCAGCTTCATGGGATCCTATGAGAACAGGATCAATATTCCTCCCAGTTCACTTTCTCCATCCCACACATAGTTTTGTACATGTCTATCATTGATGGCAAAAGGAGAAGTGGACAGTAGACGATGAGGTGGCTAGATGGAGTCACTGGGGCAGTGAGTGTGAGCTTAGGTGGACTCGGTGGGGGATGGTGGAGGACAAGAGAGCCTGGAGGAATGTTGCCCATGGGGTTATGATGGGTTGGGCGCAATTTTGCGACCAAACAACAAATCATTTCTACCATCACTTGCCATTTGTTTAAGTCCCAGACATTGTATCTTTTCCTTATGAGGAACTGCTCTATCACTTTGATCATTTTAGTCACTCCTTTCTGCACTTTTTCAGCTTTGCAGCATCCTTTTTAGGTGTGCTGACCAGCACTGTCTAAAGTATTCCAAGTGTTGTTGCACTATAGCTTTGTATAAGGGTACAATATTGGCCGTTTTATTTTCTGTTCCTTCCTTAATTATCCCTGACATGGAATTTATCTTTTTTTATAGTTAACCATATACTGGGTCATCATTTTCATTCAGTTCTCCACTACAACCCCAAGATTTCTTTCTTGGTTGCTCACTGCTAGTTCAGAGCTCACCAACACAGAAACAAAGTTGGGATTTTTTGCCCAGACAAGTAAACATGGTCCTAAGGAAAATTCATTCTCTTGAACTTAATATTTGCTTTGGGAAGATACATCCCTCTGGTGTCTCTCCTGCCAATATATTATTAGAATAATAGAACTCTGTTAATAATTAGTTTTCCTAGAAATGCTTTGGGTGCTATTTCCTTTTCTCCAATAAATTAGTATTGGAAATAAGTGGAATATCGTCAAATATATTTTATTGGTATGCAGGTAATATTTTGCTGATAGAACTTTCAAAATGTTGCAAACAAGGGCTTTTGAATTAGAGCATCTATTCCTGTCTAGTTGACCAAGTTAATAGTTTCCATAAAAACTGGATGAGCTTGCACATCATGACAAGTCATCTGCATGTAAGCTATGTGACATGTCCTCCAGTGGGTATCCGAATGGACCCAGAGACAAGCCTCCTTAGGATCATGAGCCCTTTACTTCCCACTTTGTTTTTTTAGAGGACATTTTCATGACCTCCAGTTTGACAGCTAGTGACAACCCCTTCGAAGTGCCCAAGCTGCACTGGGGGCCTTTCACTGGTTTGTTTGTCCCCATTTTTGTGCTCCAAATGTGCACATGTTTTCATTTTTCAATTCTAAGTGAATTTATGCATGTGCGTACTTCCATGGGTCCGAAATAGTATTCTTCAGTAAGTCAGTGTCCTGAGGGAAGGGTACCTACAGTCAAAGGTTGCTGGCAGCCTTCATAGGACATAATGCATGCATGAAGAAGGGGTAAAGGGAGGAAGGAAAAGCTGCAGCAAACACAAACAGTCTTGCAATTGCAGAGAGGTTCTCCAAGCCAATGTCAGTCATTCCAGGGTGTTTGGGGTCTGTACAGGGGAGGCTCCTCTTCTCTTCCCCCCTTGGAAGCCCGAAGCGGTGGGGAGGAGAACAGCTCTAGAAGATGGGTAAGGGGGTTGCCATATATAAATGTGGAGGCGAATATGGTGGGGGTAGGGGTATGTTTAATTGGGTTTTTGTTATGTTTTTGTTTAATATGTTTTTGTTTATGTTTTTGTTGTGTTTTTGTTTAATTACATATGGAGAATAGCATTATTGTTGTTGATTGAAAATCAGGATATAAATGAAGCTAAGAAAAAATTGATTCTAAATTTGATAATGGTAGCCAGGTTAGTAATGGTTAAATATTGGAAACAGAATTGGGTTATACAAATCAATGAATGGTATAATGAAATATGGAAGATAGTTGTTAATGATAAATTGACATCAGAAATAAAAATCAAAAAAGGATAATAAAAATAAATATAATGAAATATGGGAAGATTTTGTAAAAGCGGTACTGATGGAAGGGAAAGGCTGTAAGCCTAATCAAGAATATATGAATTTTTGGAGGGGATAAGGGTATAATTAAAGTACATTATGTACTGTTAATTGTTACAATATATGAAGTGAAATGGAGGTATCAACTGCTCTCTTGGGGAGCGGGTGCACAGTGTTTATTGTTAATTTAGATGCTAATATTATTGATATATTTTGAAGAATATGTATTTGTATTTTAACTGTATGTTTCAGTTAAAAAAAATAAAGGGGGGGAAAAGTCACTCCAACATGTCACATAGGCATCATGGTGCTGATGTGCACTGGCAGTAGCCTGGGCAAGCTCAGCAAGAATTGAGAGGGTTTTTTCTGCTCTTTCTGCAGCTAATGTTGACTCCTACCTAAAATCTTTGTTGAATCATATCCATAAGGGTTATCATAGCTTGTTCATGGAGTTTTATGCAGAAAATATATTTTTGTTGTTTCCATTTTATTTTCCAGAGAGCAAGCAGAAGGAGGAAGAATAATAATAGAAGTTGAAGATAGAGTGGCAAAAGTCAGAAATATAAAGGTATGTTTCATTTTAGCTTTAGAGAGCTTAATTTATTTTTGAAAATAAGTATGAGAGCTATCATAGTAGCTTAATAGGGAGGAGAGACATTTGCTCTCAGTTTCCACATAACTGCCCCAATGTACCTGCAAGATATGGTCTGCCACCAGATTACATAGAGTATTTCCAATCAGGCCGATTGGAGCTCACTGCTTAATATGAACCCAAATCCAGTGATGCAGTTTGGCTGACATTTAATCCACAGTGAGCCATGGAACCCTTGGGCAACAGGTTGTGTATCCCAACCCATTATATCTTATGTGAGCTAAACAATCGTGTGTTATCTGTTTTAGGGTTATACCCTCATATAATAAGTTATTTAGGGCTTGTTTAATCCTTAAACAATCCATGGTCACTGGGTCTGCACCACCCAACAACCCCTGAATAGAAGGGTGGCTGCATGTGCCTTGCATGCAGTGTAGCCACACTGTTGTTGCTGCTGTGTCATGTGAACATCCCAGTGGGTTGTGAATTCAGTAATCTACAGTTAGTTGTTTAGAAGCCCTTTGTCATCTGATCCAAGTCTATATAACAATCAGTCATGAAGCTTGCTGTATGAATTTTGGTCAGTGCCTAAGTCTGTATCTCTTGCATGACTGTGTGAATGTGAAAATGAGACAGTCATTGCAACCCTTTGAGCTTTTTGGGCAGAGAGGCAGGATAGAAGTGAAATAAGCCAAATAATTGTGAAAGAAAGGCTTGAACTAACATTCCTTCCATTTCCATGACTGACTATGGACTACCAACCAGAAAATGTAGAGAACAATCTTTGCTAATAAATATGTAGAAATTGTCTGTTCTTATATGTATTTTGTGGGCTAATTTTCACTCATGTGGTACAAATATCCAGACTTCTACTTAGTGTAGTTCTCTACATGCTGTTCTTATACAATCCTAGCTTTGTCCTGTTTTGTCTTTCCTTGCCCTACGTTAGTTTGTTTCTGCCACTCTGCCTGGATAAATTGTTATTGGATACACCTTCTGTTAATCAAAGATATACTTAATGCTTCCCTAGATTGTCTAATTAGCTTTATAAGTTTGAATTCATCTTAAAGAAGGATATAAATTTTTCTTCCATGGATTGAGATCTGTGGTGTGCACATGAAATCCATTTTTGTTTTCAGATTTTCCTTTCAGGAGGTAGCATGAACAGAATCCCCAACATTTTCATTTAGACACACTTAACTACAAGAAGAAATTTGGGAATTGGATGCAAGAGTTGTTTAAAAGACAAATGTTGTAAACCGTCCTGAGACATCTGTGATCAGACGGTATAGAAAAGTTTTAAATAAATAAATGTTTGTGGTGGTGGTAGTACAGTCTTTTGTTCCACTTTTTAAAGTACAGTTCAGGGGACAATAGCATGCAAGCACTAAATGTACTTCCCTTATAAGACATTTAGCTTATTATTTTTTGAAATTGAAAGTGTTTTACAACTATTTCAAAAGTCTGTGGTGTCTGTTAAGAAAAATGCAGGTACAAATGTCCTTCTTTGAATTGTAGCACTAGAATGGAAGCTGAAACCATGCTGGTAACAGGTTCTGACCAATGTAATGAGAAATATTAAAGAAGTGTAAGCTGTCTTTCTGACATAAGTTAGAAAAAACAGGAAAAAGGCGTGCTACTAGGTGTACATTGTTTTTATTGCATCTGCCCTGTGGAAAATCTATTGACATACTCGCTCTTTCATATCTCAGAATAATGCTTAAAAATAAAACGGGAAGGAAATCCAAAGCTGGAATAGGGTGGGGGTTGGGGAACCTAAATTGACACAGCTTCTGAGTTCTTTACAGAACTAGAGTAAACATCTGTGGATCTGTAAAACAAATTAACTTCTTGTAGTCATGTTGCAGCTGCATCTCCCTGCATTTCTGCAAATGCCTTTATTCTTTCAAGCTGTCAGTACATTGCTAGTAAGATAAGCACAAAACCCTAAACATTTGGATTATTTTCTGTCTTATTTCTTTTCTGCCCTGTGATTACAGTCTAATACAATTGCATCTAATTTCTGGAAAATGTAACAAAAATGTGTATTGAACTATGGTTGACATCCTGGTGGGTGACTGGTTACAAGAGACTGTACATCCTTTCCCTTTTGAGATTCTTGGAGGCTTCCTTTATAGGGCATGGGAAACAGAGCTGTTCTTTCCAGACATTTGGACTCCTGAATGCTGCTCCCTTAGTCAAGTAGTAAAATGTGGCCAAAATCAGTTTCTGTTGGCGATGTACTGTAACTACTCAGAAGGCAGATAAGTGAATTATAGAGTTACACATGATTACTGTGGGAATTCTACAGGACAGATGCTTTCTATTTTTGCTTGGTCTTTCTTTGTATCTGCATGTCTGCCTGATTCTTTTAGGTGACTTGCTTAAAATAATTAGTATTTTAAATGTCTTAGGAGGCAGTTTGGCAGAGATCAAATAACTAGATAAGTGATTTCCTCCTCCTTTATATTCTTTCCGGAGTTGGGTTCATTCTTGGACTATTTCTAGGAGCATGCCAGTAGATCATGTTCAGTGTGTTTAGGAAATTCAGGAGATCAGTTGGTTGGGTTTTTTATTTTTACTTGTACTTGTGATGTGGAAGGCATATTGTTTAAAGTACCCTTTTTCTTGACCTGTGCAAGACACTACAAGTTGTTATATACACATGCTGCAGATAGCAACCATATAAACGTGGGGCAACTACAAAATGGAGCAACTTAGAGACTTGGGATATATTATTTATAAGAATGAGGAAAATGCAATGATTGAAATTTGTGATATAGTAGTAGCTTTCTTTCTCTTTTCGTAGGCATGTTCAAGAGAAGGGAGGCAAGAATTTTATGCAATTAGCATACTTGCTTGCTATTTTATAAAGGCATCCTGTGGTTTTCATAGATATCTGTGGAAAGATTTATGTTTGCATGGGATACTTATATGAAATTTTCCTTTTTCCATAGGAAATGGAGAAATTAATGCATTCATATAGACCTTGGTATTGTAGCTTGAATTCATTCAGAAATTCCAAAAAATACTCATTGCTAGATCAAGTGTATATGATTGAATTTCAATCTTTAGTGAAAGCATTTATTTAAATGAAGTACACACTAAATAAACTTTAATCTATTGTGTATTTAAAAATTATTTTTTCTTCTGTAGTTGCTTGTTTTGGGAGATATGTTTAGATTAACAATTACAACCAGTTAAAATTAGAAGGTTCATCTAGCATTCAGGATTTTGAAGAATTGATCTGTAGAATTTTTAATATGGAGCAGGGATTCCCAACCTTTCTGGGCATATTTAGAATTTTGAGTATTGTGGGCACTCTCATAAAATGGCCGTCATGTTTTGGGGCTTGCCCATTCATGCAACAGGTGCTGTGGTGGGTATGACTGATCTCAAAATGAGTATTGGTGAAACTAAGAGAAAAGTGACTTGTCTCAGACAGCAATGAGGACTAAGTTCCAAAACACAAAACCTCTCTTATGAACTCAGATGACCCTAGAGGGCATAAATTTGCAGCACACTAGTCTGTCAATTAAAATCATTTTTAGTTTAAAAATCTTAAATGTTAGGGGCAGGAGGCCTGAAGACCATCAGGAAAGTTAAAGGTTAGCACCATATTGGGGACCCCAAGAGTGTTGTCATTCTGTGAGTGGGGCTATGTGCAAGAGAGAAATAATGTATTCTCAACTAGTTAAAGCTACACTTACTCCATCTTTTAAAATAGACCAGAAAGGTTTATGCCACGATAATTGTGCAGTACAGTGCATTTTCTCCTTCATGGATCACTGCCTTGTTGTGCGAAGGGGCTTGCGTAGCTCGATGAAGCTATGAGCTGTGACGTGCAGGGCCACACAAGACAGACTGGTCATAGCAGAGAGCTCTGACAAAACGTGATCCACTGGAGAAGGAAATAGCAACCCACTCCAGTATCTTTGCCATGAAAACCCCATGGATAGTACCAAAAGGCAAAAAGATATGATGCCGGAAGATGAGCCCTTCAGGTCAGAAGGTGTCCAAAATGCTACTGGGGAAGACCAGAGGGCTAGTACTAGTAGCGCCAGAAAGAATGAAGCAACTGGGTCAAAGCCGAAAGGACACTCAGTTGCAGATGTATCTGGTGGTGAAAGGAGAGTCCGATGCTGTAAAGATCTATACTCCATAGGAACCTGGAATGTAAGATCCATGAATCAAGGCAAGCTGGATGTGGTCAAAAGAGATGACAAGACTGAACGTTGACATCTTAGGAATCAGTGAACTAAAATGGACAGGAATGGGTGAATTTAATTCAGATGACCTTCAGGTATACTACTGCGGGCAAGAATCCCTCAGAAGAAATGGAGTAGCCTTCATAGTCAATAAAAGAGTAGGAAAAGCAGTACTGGCATACAATCTCCAAAATGACAGAATGATCTCAGTTTGAATCCAAGAAAAACCATTCAACATCACAGTAGTCCAAGTCTATGATGCTGAACCACTGGTGCTGAAGAGGCTGAAGTTATCTGGTTCTGTGAAGGCCTACAACACCTTCTAGAATTAACACCAAAAAATGATGTCCTTATCATCATGGGGGATTGGAATGCTAAAGTAGGAAGCCAAAAGATAACCGGAATAACAGGCAAGTTTGACCTTGGAGTACAAAATGAAGCAGGGCACAGGCTGATAGAATTTTGTCAAGAGAATACGATGGTCATAGCAAACACTCTTTTCCAACAACCCAAGAGACGACTCTACACATGGACATCACCAGACAGTCAACACAGAAATCAGATTGACTATGTGCTCTGCAGCCAAAGATGGAGAAGCTCTATACAGTCAGTATA